AGGACGACGAGCACACAGATGAGCTTCCCTGAGACGGTTTCTGATAGATTGTGCAGAAATTCTTCAGTTGTGCTAACCCACAGTTTCATCAGCGGTCCGGGGGGGGGGCTGGTCTCAGACGATCCCGCAGATGAAGAAGCTGGATGTGGAGGTCCTGGGCTGGCGTGGTTACATGTGGTCTGTGGTTGTGAGGCCGGTTGGAGGTACTGCCAAATTCTCTAAAACAACGTTGGTAGAGAAATGAACATTCCAATTCTATGGCAACAGCTCTGGTGGACATTCATTGCTGTTGCCTTTTTATTGTCCCCAGGATAACATTTACATTTACGTCATTTAGCAGACGCTCTTATCCAGAGCGACTTACAAATTGGTGCATTCACCCTATAGCCAGTGGGATAACCACTTTACAATTTTAAAAAAATAAAAAAATAATCCCAGGTATTCCTTAAAGAGGTGGGGTTTCAAATGTCTCCGGAAGGTGGTGAGTGACTCCGCTGTCCTGGCGTCGTGAGGGAGCTTGTTCCACCATTGGGGTGCCAGAGCAGCGAACAGTTTTGACTGGGCTGAGCGGGAACTATGCTTCCGCAGAGGAAGGGGAGCTAGCAGGCCAGAGGTGGATGAACGCAATGCCCTCGTTTGGGTGTAGGGACTGATCAGAGCCTGAAGGTACGGAGGTGCCGTTCCCCTCACAGCTCCATAGGCAAGCACCATGGACTTGTAACAGATGCGAGCTTCAACTGGAAGCCAGTGGAGTGTGCGGAGGAGCGGGGTGACGTGAGAGAACTTGGGAAGGTTGAACACCAGACGGGCTGCGGCATTCTGGATGAGTTGTAGGGGTTTAATGGCACAGGCAGGGAGCCCAGCCAACAGCGAGTTGCAGTAATCCAGACGGGAGATGACAAATGCCTGGATTAGGACCTGTGCCGCTTCCTGTGTAAGGCAGGGTCGTACTCTCCGAATGTTGTAGAGCATGAACCTGCAGGATCGGGTCACCGCCTTGATGTTAGCGGAGAACGACAGGGTGTTGTCCAGGGTCACGCCAAGGCTCTTCGCACTCTGGGAGGAGGACACAACGGAGTTGTCAACCGTGATGGCGAGATCATGGAACGGGCAGTCCTTCCCCGGGAGGAAGAGCAGCTCCATCTTGCCAAGGGTTAGAGGCAGGGAGGAGAATGTGGCAAAGAGCTTCCTAGGGTTAGAGGCAGATGCTTGGAATTTAGAGTGGTAGAAAGTGGCCTTAGCAGCAGAAACAGATGAAGAAAATGTAGAGAGGAGGGAGTGAAAAGATGCCAGGTCCGCAGGGAGTCTAGTTTTCTTCTATTTCCGCTCAGCTGCCCGGAGCTCTGTTCTGTGAGCTCGCAGTGAGTCATCAAGCCGGGAGGATAGGGGACACAGAGAGTCAAAGGATGTAGAAAGGGAGGAGAGGAGGGTTGAGGAGGCAGAATCAGGAGATTGGAGGGAGAAGGATTGAGCAGAGGGAAGAGATGATAGGATGGAAGAGGAGAGAGTAGTGGGAGAGAGAGAGAGCGAAGGTTGCGGCGGCGCATTACCATCTGTGTAGGGGCAGAGTGAGTAGTGTTGGAGGAGAGCGAGAGAGAAAAGGATACAAAGTAGTGGTCGGAGACATGGAGGGGAGTTGCAGTGAGATTAGTAGAAGAGCAGCATCTAGTAAAGATGAGGTCAAGCGTATTGCCTGCCTTGTGAGTAGGGGGGGACGGTGAGAGGGTGAGGTCAAAAGAGGAGAGGAGTGGAAAGAAGGAGGCAGAGAGAAATGAGTCAAATGTAGACGTAGGGAGGTTGAAATCCCCCAAAGCTGTGAGGGGTGAGCCATCCTCAGGAAAGGAACTTATCAAGGCGTCAAGCTCATTGATGAACTCTCCAAGGGAACCTGGAGGGCGATAGATGACAAGGATATTAAGCTTAAATGGGCTAGTGACTGTGACAGCATGGAATTCAAATGAGGAGATAGACAGATGGGTTAGGGGAAAAATTGAGAATGTCCACTTGGGAGAGATGAGGATTCCTGTGCCACCACCCCTCTGACCAGATGCTCTCGGGGTATGCGAGAACACATGGTCAGACGAGGAGAGAGCAGTAGGAGTAGCAGTGTTTTCAGTGTTAATCCATGTTTCCGTCAGCGCCAGGAAGTCGAGGGACTGGAGGGTAGCATAGGCTGGGATGAAGTCAGCCTTGTTGGCAGCAGAACGGCAGTTCCAGAGGCTGCCTGAGACCTGGAACTCCAGGTGTGTGGTGCGTGCAGGGACCACCAGGTTAGAGAGGCAGCAGCCACGCGGTGTGAGGCGTTTGTGTAGCCTGTGCGGAGAGGAGAGAACAGGGATAGGCAGAGGCATAGTTGACAGGCTGTAGCAAATGGCTACAATAATGCAGAGGAGATCGGAATGAAATGAACTAAACATCTGGGAAAGGAGAGAGCGAGGCCTCCCTCACCACAACTCCCAAATATAACTCTCCCAACTTCCACCTCAGAAACTATAATTGTTTCACTGAAATACCCGAATAAAACTCTCCCAACTTCCACTTTAGAAATTAGAATTGTTTGTAAACTACAGCGGTTCAATGTTTCAAGGAATAGACTCAACTTACTTTATTCAGCTAGCTAACTATGACGCCATAGCTAACTAGAATGCTAGCATCCAATAACACACGGTTTAGCACCAATACTTGGTTACAACAAACTACCAATAGTGTGTTAACACGCTAAACAGATAATTTGTGTCCGTTGTCTAGTTCCTTTCATAACGCAAGCAATAATTAAACGTTGGCTAGCTAGCACAAAGATAATGGTATAAGGTGCACCTGAAAAAAAAACAAGTGGTATTTGAAAATTTAAAAAGGGGGGGCCCCCCCCCCCCCCCCCCCTACCCCCCCGGTTTTTTTTTTTTTTATCTGGTGACACCATGCTCATGCAGCGAGACCATCTCCTTCGATAGAGTTGATCAGGCTGTTGATTGGGGTCTGTGGAATGTTGTCCCACTCCTCTCAATGGCTGTGCAAAGTTGACGGGAACTGGAACACGCTAAACATGCTCAATTGGTGACCTGTCTGGTGAGAATGCAGGCCATGGAAGAACTGGGCCATTTTCAGCTTCCAGGAATTGTGTACTGATTCTTGCGACATGGGGCCGTGCATTATCATGCTGAAACATGAGGTGATGGCGGCGGATGGCTGGCAGGACAATGGGCCTCAGGATCTCGTCACGGTATCTCTGTGCATTCAAATTGCCATCAATAAAATGCAATTGTGCTTGTTGTCCAAAGCTTATGTGTGCCCATACCATAACCCCACCGCCACCATGGGGCACTCTGTTCAAAACATTGACATCAGCAAACCGCTCGCCCACACAACGCCATACATGCTGTCTGCCATCTGCCCGGTACAGTCGAAACCAGGATTCATCCGTGAAGATCACACTTCTCCAGCGTGCCAGTGGCCATCGAAGGTGAGCATTTGCCCACCAAAGTCAGTTACGACGCCGAACTGCAGTCAGGTTAAGACCCTGGTGAGGACGACGAGCACACAGATGAGCTTCCCTGAGACGGTTTCTGATAGATTGTGCAGAAATTCTTCAGTTGTGCAAACCCACAGTTTCATCAGCGGTCCGGGGGGGGGCTGGTCTCAGACGATCCCGCAGATGAAGAAGCTGGATGTGGAGGTCCTGGGCTGGCGTGGTTACATGTGGTCTGTGGTTGTGAGGCCGGTTGGACGTACTGCCAAATTCTCTAAAACAACGTTGGTAGAGAAATGAACATTCCAATTCTATGGCAACAGCTCTGGTGGACATTCATTGCTGTGGCCTTTTAATTGTCCCCAGGATAATGTGCACCTGTGTAATGATCATGCTGTTTAATCAGCTTCTTGATATGCCACACCTGTCAGGTGGATGGATTATCTTGGCAAAGGAGAAATTCTCACTAACAGGGATGTAATTTTAGAGAGAAGCTTTTTGTGTGTATGGAACATTTATGGGATCTTTTATTTCAGCTCATGAAACATGGGACCAACACTTTACATGTTGCGTTTTTATATTTTTATTCAGTATAGTTAGTATCCTATTGATGAATTTTATGTCCCAAAAAACAGTGAGTATGATATAGGCCTACCTGGTTAGGGTAACCCGCCACCTGGGGTAACAACCCCGTGCCTGTACTTCTCACAGAAACCACTTTGTCACCGGATGGTTGGCATCCCCCCAAAAAACTTTCCCTGGTTGACACTACTCTTGCCCAACAAAGAATTTAATCTGTCTCATCACAATATGTCACTCCCCCCAACATTATTTTGTGGTAGGGTGGCATTTTACCCCAAGTTACCCTACAATTGGCCCATGTTGCATTTAGCCCTACTCTCCCCTATGCACTCACAGTGAATTGTAGATTGGTAACTTGCTTAACCATGATGCTGCTAAAAACTCTGGGTTTAAAATGGTGCAGTTTGTGCATATTTAGGAGTTTAGATATAAATACATTAGGAATGGAAAGCTTGGAGCCCCCTCTTTTTAATAAAGGCCATTCAAACTGCTGTGTACGCGATTGCAAGAATTGTTGTGGATTGACTGCTTGTCAGAATGCATGTTTCCCTCCTTATGGCACTCGTAACTTGAATGTGCCTCAAGGAATATTTATCTTGCATAGAACACACAACAACAGGCCGACTAGATAAACTATTCTACTATGGGGTTTGCCAGATTTTTCTATTCATTACTCGTTTTGTTTGCAGAGGAAAAGTAAATGTGGACTGTTCTAGCATCTTCAAAGCGCGCCCCGGCAGAAATATTTTTTAATGTTCCTTATTTTTTTGGCTTTGCAAATATGTTTTTCCCACCGCGCAGCACCACAGCAAAATGACTGCAGCGGAAACACTGCTCCTGTATACTGTCTTGATTATCTAATGATGGTGAAAGCATATGATCGTATGTATTACCCGGTCATTATTCATGAGTATTAACCAGTCAGACATATGTTCTGTGTTACCCCCAACAGGACAGGAAACAGAGGCAGAGTGGAGGAGTGAAGAGTGCCCCAGTTCTCTCTGCTGGTTGTGATGAGGAAGCTGGTGCTGCTGCCCCGCCCAACTCTGAGTTCACAGACGTCCCCCTCAGTCTGCCCTACGAGGGGACAGAGCAACAACAGGGCCTGGCAGAGTCATTAGTGACATTATCAGAGACATCAGAGGAATCATTACCAGCATCACAGACACTATCGTCATCCACATTATCACAGACATTGCAGACATCGCTAACATTATCATCAACCTCACCACAGACACTAGCCCAGCACTTTGAGGCAGAGCCAGAGAAGAGGGATGAGGGGAGAGGAGAGGCCCAAGGGGCTGAGCTCAAAGCTGCACCACAGAGCACTGAGGTGGGGAGAGAGACCCAGAACAAAACCCACATCCAGACCCAGCCCTGCATATCCACCCAGCTTGAGACACCCTTGGCCCCCAGCACCCCTGCCCTCTACCCCTCACTACCCACACTGGAGGAGGGCTCCCTGATGCAGCTGCATGGGGAGGCTTTGCGGCCCTGTGGGACAAGGGGCCCTGCTGTGCTGCCTTTAGGGGAGCAGGAATGTCCTCCCAGTCTGGAGCCTGTTGTAGAAGTGGCTCCGTCTGAAGGTTCTAGGACCAGACTGTACCCTGAACTACCCCAGCCCAGCCCAGCGCTACAGGTAACCACACATCCTTTGACCCATTGTGTCCTCGAAGCTCTCTATATTACAAAGCTATCTATGTTACAAAAGAATGGCGCATAGAAAATAATATTAGAATGCTATTTATTTATAGTGTGTACTGTGTTGTGTGTTACCTGCAGGAATTCTCGTTGGAGCAGCTGAGTGTGTGGGAGCCGGGTGGGGGGATGTGTGTGTGGGTGGAGGGGGTGGAGGTGTGTGCAGCCAGGTTTGCAGTGTTGGCCCGGCAGGAAAGCCACGAGCTGACGGAGCTCCTGCAGAACTACTGGCGCTGCCGCAGACAGCTGACACACGCACACACACAGCTGCACACACACACCTCCGACTGTAACACCACACAGAACCGACTCTGGAGCTTCAGAGATGAACAGCTCACACTACAGGTGTGTGGTTAAATTGACTATGTTAGTATACGACTTAGCACACCACATAAAAACTACAAAGTTATACATTACACTTTTGTTGTTCATAATCTCTCTCTTTCCCCCTCTCTCTCTCTCTCTCTTAACCTCGCTCTCTCGCTCTCTTTCTCTCCAGGGTGTGTGTGGGGACCAGTCAAAGGTGTGTGGCTACCACCGCTTCCAGCAGGCTGACTTTAGTGAGGCTGTGTTGGTGGAGCTGCGGAAGCTGTTCGAGGCCCGCTCTGAACTTCTCCACCAGAAAGTGGCGCTGCACGCATACACAGCCCTGCTGTCACGACTTCAAGTGGAGTCATACCTACACTACCTGCTCCACGGTGGGATTTAATTTAATATTTAACATATTGTACACATGGCTAGTGTGTTTCTTTGTTTAATTAGTATAAAGTGTATGTGTACTGTAGATATGTGTGGTACCCAGAGCCAGCCCTGCTCCCTCCTCCCCCTGAAGGAGAGCATCAGTGTTCTCTTCAGCTTCACGCGGAGAGTCCTGGACGACGCACAGTTCCAGACAGACATCCACCTCTGGCTGCAGAGACTGGTACACACACCCACACACATACACACACTTACCTATCTGTAAACCTCAACACTAGCCCTGACACACACAGCCCTGATCCATCTGTTGTGCTGTTTGATAATTCTGTGGTGTGTAGGTGGCAGTGTTACTGCGTGTGGAGGGGTCAGGAGAACACTACCTGTTGAACCATCTGCTGTGCTGTTCTGCAGGGGTGGGCAAGTGGGCTGCACCCTTCTTACAGGTGAGACACACACCCTCTATCTAGTTAATTTAATGTTTTGATTTCCTTGAAAGTAGGCCTAGTTTATGAATGCAGGCTCACCCCACTATTTCTTAATGCTTATTGGCAGGTTGTCATGTTTGGTTAACAGTGCCGTCCTTGCCAGGAAAAGTTGACAGATTCTTATCTAAAACATGCTTGGGGTGGTGTGTTTCAGATCCAGGTCCTGGGAAACCCCTCTGGAGTACAACAGTTCATGCAGGCTCTCGCCATCCTCATGTCTCCAGTCAGGTAAAGAACCCTAACTTCTCACTCTGACCCTTGACCCCTAAACCTACACGCAGGCTCTTGCCATCCTCATGTCTCCTGTCAGGTAACCCTAACCTTGACCTCTTACCTTTCATCCCCAGTCCTTACCTATTTACGTGATTGTTCAGTTGAACGCACACATCTCAAGTTAGGATTCCACCCTATGTGTTTTTCTCTCTGATCGTTGACCTTCATCTTTAGGCACCGTTCTGAGTTCATGAGCCACATGAAGCCTTGTGAGAGTCAGAGTGCTGCAGCCTCTTGCCCTGAGTCTGGCAACTGGACCCTAGTGGATGAAGGGGGAGAGGAGGTAACCATGTGCGAGTGTATTTGCGTGTGTGTGCATGCATGCGTTGGTGTGTGTAGTATTTCAGGGAACTGAACCCTAGGAGGGTTGCGGTAGAAGTGTTGTAAGGTTGCTGGTATGTGTGTTTTCAGGATGAGGACCCAGACAGCAGCTGGTTGTTACTGTGTGAAGAGGACCTGATCTCCCTTCTGTCCCAGTTCCCCTTCCAACAGCTCTTCACACACCTGCTAGGGATGAGCAAGAAGGGTGTGTGAGTGCGAGTGCGCGCCTCTGTTGTCTTGAAGTTGTATTTGACTGACGTAGTAATTCTGTTATTCTAGTGCCAGCTTTTTTGCTGTGTCTTCAGATGTGTGTATGCAGCTATGTGACTGTCCTACCATTTGTATAAGTGACATCTGTCGGTCTGTCTGTCTGTCTAGGTGTGTATGAGCCCAAGGCCTGCTCCAGTCAGAAGATGATGCGTGTGTTTGCGTTCGCCTCGTCTCTGATCGAGCTGCTGGCTGTGGGACTACACACCTACAACAGAGCTCGCTACCGCCAGCTAGTCAAACGCATCGGACACACCATACGGTAATACACACATTACATTTACGTTGCGGAAATGTGTTTAGATCTAGATGTGTTTGTAAAGGTGTATAACTGCTGCCTCCTGTGTGCTCCCTCCCTGCAGGATGACCATGTGTTACGTCAGTGATCACTGGGCCCAGTATGCAAGTGTTGCTGGTCCAGCCCAGCCCAGTACCATCTCTCTGGAGAAACTGCAGCTCGAATACGACCATCTATTCCTCAGAGCTGTACTACACGTCCTCAGAAACAAGAGGTGAGAGGAGAAGAAATGAAATGTGTCTGGGTATCTATTCTTGCAAGGCAGTAAAAATATTGATTTTGAGAGTAAGGTGTGTGTGCGTGTATTGTCTGACTGTGTGTGTGTTCTCCTAGGTTGGGTATCTGGCTGTTCATGTCAGAGATGCCCTATGGAACCGTGTCCAGTTCCATGCTGTGGAGAGTTCTGTACATGATGCAGTGTGCAGAGACCACTGCACCGGACACACTCAACTCTACAGACAACACATACGCCTGCCTACAGGCCCTCAGAGGTACACATACATTGCATTTGGAAAGTGTTCAGACCCCTTTACCTTTTCCACATTTTGTTACGTTACAGCCTTATTCTAAAATGGATTTTTTTTTATCCTCATCAATCTACACACAACACCCCATAATGACAAAGCAAAAACAGTTTTTATTTTGAGCAAAAATGGAAATATCATATTTTAAATAAATATTAAGGCCCTTTACTCATTACTTTGTTGAAGCACCTTTGGCAGCGATTACAGCCTTGAGTCTTCTTGGGTATGACGCTACAAGCTTGGCACACCTGTATTTGGGGAGTTTCTCCCATTCTTCTCTGCAGATCCTTTCAAGCCCTGTCAGGTTGGATGGGGAGCGTCGCTGCACAGCTATTTTCAGGTCTCTCCTTAAATGGCCATTTACTGTTATAATCTCCACCCGGCACAGCCAGAAGGGGACTGGCCACCCCTCAGAGCCTGGTTCCTCTCTAGGTTCCTTTCTAGGGAGTTTTTCCTAGCCACCATGCTTCTACATCTGCATTGCTTGCTGTTTGGGGTTTTAGGCTGGGTTTCTGTATAGCACTTTGTGACATCTGCTGATGTAAGAAGGGCTTTATAAATACATTTGATTGATTGATTTACTCAGTACTTTGTTGAAGCACCTTTGGCAGCGATTACAGCCTTGAGTCTTCTTGGGTATGACGCTACAAGCTTGGCACATCTGTATTTGGGGAGTTTCTCCCATTCTTCTCAGCAGATCCCCTCAATCTCTGTCCGGTTGGATGGGGAGCGTTGCTGCACAGCTATTTTCAGGTCTCTCCAGAGATGTTCGATAGGGTTCAAGTCCGGGCTCTGGCTGGGCCACTCAAGGACATTCAGAGACTTGTCCCGAAGCCACTCCTGCATTGTCTTGGCTGTGTGCTTAGGGTCGTTGTGCTGTTGGAAGGTGAACCTTCGCCCCAGTCTGAGGTCCTGAGCGCTCTGGAGCAGGTTTTCATCAAGGATCTCTCTATACTTTACTCCGTTCATCTTTCCCTCGATCCTGACTAGTCTCCCAGTCCCTGCCGGTGAAAAACATCTCCACAGCATGATGCTGCCACCACCATGCTTCACCCTAGGGATGGTGCCAGGTTTCCTCCAGACGTGACGCTTTGCATTCAGGCCAAAGAGTTCAATCTTGATTTCATCAGACCAGAATCTTGTTTCTCAATGTCTAAGAGTCTTTAGGTGCCTTTTGGCAAACTCCAAGCGGGCTATCATGTGTCTTTTACTGAGGAGTGGATCCGTCTGGTCACTCTACCATAAAGGCCTGATTGGTGGAGTGTTGCAGAGATGGTTGTCCTTCTGGAAGAACTCTGGAGCTCTGTCTGAGTGACCATCGGGTTCTTGGTCACCTCCCTGACCAAGGCCCTTCTCCCCAGATTGCGCAGTTTGGCCGGGCGGCCAGCTCTAGGAAGAGTCTTGGTGGTTACAAACTTCTTCCATTTAAGAATGATGGAGGCTACTGTGTTCTTGGGGACCTTCAATCCTGCAGGCATTTTTTGGTACCCTTCCCCAGATCTGTGCCTCGACACAATCCTGTCCCGGAGCACTACGGACAATTCCTTCGACCTCATGGCTTGGTTTTTGCTCTAACATGCACTGTCAACTGTGGGACCTTAAATAGACAGGTGTGTGCCTTTCCAAATCATGTCCAATCAATTGAATTTACCACAGGTGGACTCCAATCAAGTTGTAGAGACATCTCAAGGATGATCAATGGAAACACCTGAGCTCAAATTCGAGTCTCATAGCAAAGGGTCTGAATACTTATGTAAATAAGGTATTTCAGTTTTTTAAATTAGCAAACATTTCTACAAACCTGTTTTCACTTTGGCATTATGGGGTATTGGGTGTAGATTAATGAGGATTTTTATTTATTTAATCAATTTTAGAATAAGGCTGTAACGTGACAAAATGTGGGAAATATCAAGGGATCTGAATACTTTCCGAATACACTGTATAATAATGATAGGAATTAATTGTATTCATTAAGTACTTTTCTCACACCCAATGCGTTAAAAAACAACAGAGAATAAGACCACAATATCACACATTCACACAGTGTGTCAGAGCAGGAGCCATGCCTTAATGACGTGCTAAAATGTATTGCAGAGCCAGGTCACCAGGAGAGGTTTGAGAAGTGTCTGTGTGAGGTCAACAGTTCTGATGGAATCTCTCTCCTCACGGCACTAGCTCACATGGCCATGCCTACCCACCACTCTGACCCCACCTTCATTACTACTATAGCTCTCCTCGTTTACCAGGTAACACACGAGCACATTTCTTTTTCTAAATTTTCACACGGAATGAATACAGTGCACGGCAAAGCCACTGGCTGCCAGTTTCTACTGGGGGTCACCCTATATTTCTGTCTCTCTGTTTTTCTCTCTCCCTCCAGGTGTCCTATGTCAGTGTGTCTACAAGGGAGACCTATTCTAAGGTGGGCCGGGAGCTGCTGGCCACCATAGCAACCGCTCATCCTTACATCATCTCAGTCCTGCTGGACAGACTCCGAGAGACCATAGAGACAGTCGGCATGGTAAGTGTGTTGGTGTGTGTGTGCATGAGTGTGTGACCTCTGTCAGCAGCTGAGGTTGCTGTGGAAAGTAGGCGGATGAAGACTTCAAGTGTAACAGAGGTGGTTCAGTTAAGTAAACCTGTGTGATGATTAACCTTGTCTGAGACCTGTGTATGAAGGTGGCGCTATACCTCTGTAAGGAGCTGCCCCTGTGCCTTTGGCGTCCTAGCCCAGAGGAAGTGTGTGTGATCGGGAGCTGGCTGCTCCAACACCCCCTCTCTGCTGTGGAGAACCGCCTGGCCTGTGTTATACTGGAGGGACTGGACTGGGGCTATGCACAGGTACTATACACACACCTAACCCTACATAGAATTTGAGTGTGTTGAGTGTGTATTTTGGTGTGTTGACTGTGTACAGTGTGTAATGTTGAGTATGTGTGTCTTATAGGATGGGACTCTGGCCCTGCCCTCCTCTCTCCACAGTGAAGTTGCTCTGCTGGTGGCCGAAGCCTATCAGAAATACCTCACAGACAAACCATACAATGGACTCATCTCAGAGGGAATCAAACAGGTAACACACACACTATACACTAGTCCAGTGGTATTCAAAGTTGGGGTCGTGGGGAACTGCAGTGGGGTTGCCAAAAAATGTAATAAAAATATATAATCATATTTTTTAGGAACAACAAATTAATAGTACAGATTATTGTATGGGACAATATACAAACGTTTTTGAGGAAGGTCGTTTGAAAAATACAATTGTATTTAGTAAATGTATTTATTGGTTTCTTTTCATTTTGATATGAGATGAAAATGCAATGAATTAAGGTTATTTGTTCATGAAAAATTTTAAGGTTGTCATTAGATTTGGGGTGGGGTCGTGAGAAATTCTTGCAAAAAAAAGAGGTCCACAGAAATTGTGGCGGAAATTCAGTCCCCACTGAAAAAGTTTGAATGCCACTGCACTAGTCTCATCTCAGAGGGTAACACACACTCCCATCTTCCTCTGTCTATGTCTCTCAGGTGTCCTACCTGGCTAGTGTTCTCCGTCTGGGTCTGTCTCCTGAGGCTTCTTTCAGCCAGTGGGCCTGGCAGCTGTTGCTAAGGCTGAAGCTCCATGGCAACACCCAGTACCCTCAGGCAGCCTGGTCCACCCCCGGCTCCGCCCCTAACCCCTCCCCTGAGCTCACTCACGCCCCCAACATGCACCCTGTTCTCAGGGCCGTGAAGGCGGGCATTCCCATTGGCTGTTACCTGGCCATCGCCATGACTACTGTAGGTCACAGGTATGACCATCTGCTCACACACACACACACACACACACATCAGACACCATAAATCAGGGATCATCAACTAGATTCAGCCGCGGGCTGATTTATTTTGTGGCGGATGTTCGGGGGGCCGGAACAGAATTACAAATCCTGCAATTTGACCGCAAGAATCCCATACAGATATAATATTTGACAAAAACATGATCATTTCAAACCTTGCTTACATTTACATTTACATTTTAGTCATTTAGCAGACGCTCTTATCCAGAGCGACTTACAGTTAGTGAGTTTTTTTTTCTCCATACTGGCCCCCCATGGGAATCGAACCCACAACCCTGGCGTTGCAAGCGCCATGCTCTACCAACTGAGCTACACGGGGCCCATGGGAATACTTGGGAACAGATTTTCAAAATCTAAATAACTGGTGCTTTTACAGTCTTTTATGTTCAACAATTATTATATATTTTTTAAGCTCAGAAAACTTGGAGAGCCAAATAAAACCACCTGAGGGCCAAATTCAGCCACTGGCTGCCAGTTGGGGAACCCTGCCATACATACACACATCTCCACCCACTACTGTACTGAATTATTGCCTGTGTGTGGAAAGTCTCACTCTGTACTATTGTAGTGTGTGTGTGTAACCTCACTCACTCACTCACTCACTCATCCCAGTCTGGAGGTGTTCTGCACAGAGGGAGTGGATCTGCTGAAGAGTCTCATTCAGTCTCGTCATCTGAGAGCTGCTGTCCATCTACTGGACAACATCCTCCCTCCTACCTACCCTCTCAGCTTCTATCTGCTAAAGAACACACAGTAAGATATCATGCACACTACGTCTTACACACTAATATACAACATCCTCCCTCCTTCCAGCCCTCTCAGCTTCTGTAGTTAATTTTCACTACCTTTTAAATCCTTCCTATCCTAAACTGTAAAATCAAACTAAAATCTCACAAAACTGGAGGCCTGTGGCATTGCTCTGTTTGAACTACAACATGTTTTTCTCTCTGTGCCAGGTTTGTGGGCTGTGTCCAATTGTTCTTGCAGTGTGACAGTGTGTCCCCTCAGGGTGTAACACAGCAGGTCACCCACAGGGTGGCGCCTCTCTTCACTGGAGGCACCTACGGGGACATGGTACGCCTGCTGAACAGTGTGATACAGGTATGTACACACACACCTAATAAATATCTATCAGAACTGGTGTGAAACATGGGACTAACCAGACTTATGTATCAGTAGTTACATCAGCCAACTGTAGAACTGGATGCCATGTTCCTGCCTCTGAACATTCCATTAAAATGTAAATGATGAGTGTGTGATTGTTTCTCTTTCAGACTCACGTGATGGAGAGTTCTAGGCCAGGTCGTGTGGGTCCGGCAGCGGTTCTAGAGTTCTGGGTGGGGGTTCTAACCCAGCAGAAACTGTGGTACCGAGACAGAACCGTTCTGTTTCTGATGGACCAGATCTGTCATGCTGCCTTCACACAGCGCCAGGAGGAGTGTGTACAGAGACTACTGTGCCAGCAGCACAAGGTACACACACTCATACACACACACAGAGAGAGCGAGACAGGAGATGTACAGTCCCATATATTTCAGATGTTATGCTTATGTTGATCGGTGTCACACACTAGATCAGTCTGTGATGCTCTAGGTCTCACCCCTCTGCTAGATTGCCTTAGGTTACCATGGAGACCGGAGTCTGCTCTCCTCCCTGGTTGGTTGGATTTCTGGAAATGCCACACCCTCATTCATCGAGGGCCAATCGATGAGCGTGGAGGTGAGGACTCTTACATCATTCCTATCTGACCTCTCTGATCTGTGCTGTACCTGGGTCATTCTGTGTGAAATAGAAGAACATTTGACATTTTTGCATTTTCCTTAGAAATTCAGCACAAATTCGGATTATGTGTAGGCGTGGTTTATTTGTGAAATGATAACTGCACTGTGTAGGTGTGGTTTGCGTGGCTGGTGTTGAACATGGAGGGGATGTTTGAGGAGGATTCTCAGCTGAGACGCTGTGTGGAGCATGAACTACTGTCTGACCCCAACCTCTCACCTGACCAGGCCCTGAAGGTACACACACACACACACTCTAACCCCAACACTCCACACATACTCTAACCCCAACCTCTCACCTGACCAGCAGAACATCCTCATGCTGTTCGGTAGATCTTAAAATAAAACTTTGAGAGATTTATAAGCCATCATCTGAGATACATGGTGCTTGTGTTTGACTATCTTTGTGTTTGGTGTGTGTGTGCGCGTGCGCCTGTGTGTGTCTGTGCGCGTCTGTGTCTGTGTGCGGTCTGTGTCCGTGTGTGTGAGACAGAAGGCCCAGCAGCGGTTGAAGCTCCCAGTGGCTCTGTCTCTGCAGCGGCTGCAGGTGTACCGGTGGGCGTGTCAGGCATTGGCCACACCCCCTGATCACCCGCTCCTCCCCCTCATCTGGCAGAGGTTCCTGCAGCTCTACCTGAGACAGCCAGGACCTGAGTATGGGTACGACACATCACACACCTAACACCATAACCTCTAGGCTGCATCTGGGTATAGATTCAGTAATGTTTTCCCTGTTTCTGGTGTCTACAGTCTGGATGCAGGGAGCTGTATTGGTCGTCGGTTCTTCCAGGCCTCGTCTCAGGCTGTGTTACTGAGAGATCTGAGACAGAGACTACAGGAGGTGTCTGACTTCCACCACGCCGCCAGCCAGGCCCTGAGGGTGCCCCCGACACACACCCCCAGCCAGGGAGAGGACAGTCCCGACTCCCCCCCGCCTCCCTTTCTCACCTCCCCGCTGCTACACACAGAGTTGGTCAGGTAGTAAGAGCTGGAAGCCCCTCCCCTCAGCTCTGTTATGACTGGCTGTTTCCCAAGATTATCTGATTGGTTGTTTTCCCAGGCTGTTTGGTGTGTTTGCCGTGTGGTTGGACGATGAGACTCTTCAGAAGAAGGAAGTGTACCTGCCCTCTCTCCCTCCGCAGTATGACCCCCACAGACTGGCCAAGGTCATGCACAAACAACAGGTGTGTGTGTGTGTGTGTCCTGTGTCATGTACCTACTGTAGATAGTTTGTCCTTGCCACTGTTGCCTCTGCTTTCCTTTTGATGTATTGATTGATAGATGTATTGTATTGGTTGAGTGTAGGAGCTGTGGTTGGAGTATGTTGACCAGGAGCGTGTCCAATATGATGAGATGGAGGTCCTGGCTCTCTGGGACAAAGTGAAGAGTGAACCTCCCTTCATACAGAGCAACAACCCTGCCTTCACTGACTACACCAACCCCAGCGCAGGTACACACACATGAACACACACACAGCCTCAGCGCATAGCAGGTACACAACAAAGTTGTGACATTGGAAATGTTACCATTCTAGTTCTACAAACCAAACTGTCTTGTTATCGTCATTGTTGTAACCTTTCGTGTGTGTGTGTGTACTCTCTGTGTGTAGCAAGGGAGCGTATCCAGTCTAACCTGCAGAAGCACCCTGTCCCTCGGCCTCTCCCTGAGCTGCAGTCTCAGAGAGCTCCAGTACCAGAGGTCCCCTCTGCCTGCCTCACTGACCCTACTGTTGCATCCACTCTCCTACAGCAGGACCTCAGCTGTCTGCAGGCACAGGCCAGGTACACACACACACCATCATTTCATTTATGTATAACTAGCTGTATGGGATTTTTAGGGCCCTGTCTTGACCATTTGCTTGGTGCGTTCAGGTTTGCAGTGTCTCGGGAGGCCCAGCAGGTGGCGCTGGAGTCAGAACTGCTGGAGAGTCTTCCTTTGCTCTACCGGAACAGGCCAGAGCAGGTCACCATGGCTCTGGTGTGCAGAGGGCAGAGGGGGGGGCAGCCCTGCCAGGGAGCTGCACACATCACCGTCACAGTAGGACTTCTATATGAGTCAATTCTGTTTTAAATTTCATTTTCAGAATGGGTTGATTCTGCTTGAAAATTCCACTCAGAAAGGGTGATTAGGCCATCCTACGATGTAAACATGCATCCTCCCGTCTGTGTGTCGGCCTGTCTGTCTCTCTGTGTGCAGTGTGAGTGTGTGCAGAAGCAGGAAGCGGTGGAGACTCAGATCTTGTCTCTGCGCAGCGACATCAAGCAGTTGCAGACAGAAACCATTACTCCTCCCCCTCAGAGCCTCGCCCAGGCTGCAGTACACACCGAGAACTTCATTACGTCAGTACACACACACACACACCATGCTTGTTTTAGTTATTTCCCAATAATAATTTTTGATACTGTCAAATATGTGCCATAAAGTCAAAATGTGTATGACTGTGTGTGTGTGTGTGCAGGGCTCTGGTGAATTTGTACAAGGCCCAGCCAACAGCAGTGGTACAGAGTGTAGGAGTGGCTGCCTTCTACAAGGTGGTCTCTTTCGTCTGTGAAGACACACTCCGCCACCCACCCACCCGCCAGTACCTCTCCTCGTGCGTCGAGATACTGGGACAGGTACTACACACACACACACTAACACACACAAACTCATTGCATACACGTTTGATGTGACCGTAGTTAATCCAGTATTTGTGCTTGTGTAGGTGTTTATTCAGGGCACCAAGGCAGAGTGTGGGCGTGTCCTCAGCACCATCCTGCAGCAGAGACGTCTGTGTCCCCTCCTCTCCCCCTTCTTCACCCCAAACGCAGCGCCCAATCAGCTCGTCTCCCTCTACGAGGAAGTGGTGACATCACTGCACCCCGACGGCGCTGACGTCATCTTCATGCTGCTCACTAAGGTCAGCCTCAACCTTTAAAAAATCCTTGTAGGAGGATTTTAACACCTTAACACACACAACCTCCACACAACAGCTACACACACACACACACACCACCCACACAGAACAAACACATCCTTCACACAGAAAACACACTTCCACCTCCACCCACCTCACAGACAACTGGAGGTCTGTGGCATTGCTATATTAGGATGACTAGATCCTTTCTCTCCCTGTGTAGTTTGACCTGAGTGCGTGGCTGAGTGAGGCCCAGCCAGTATTCTCAGAGCGTAGCAAGCTGGTAGAGCTGGTCCACGCTGCTCTGTGTTCCTGTGGCCTTGACCCAGAGGCTGACCTCCTCACGCCCTTTCACCTCTTCACCCGACACTGGACCCTGCTGCTCAGACACCACTTCCCTGACCACTACAGCGACTGCCTGCGCCTGCTCATGACCAGTAAGACTGTTTGTTTGTTTGCTCTAAATGCGGACACTAAAGGTTGTTCGCACATGCACTAATTGCGGACTTCAACGTGCAATGTGTGTGCAGACTTCTAAAGTGTGTGGTGTGGGTGATTGTGGTCTGTGTCACTGTCAGGTTCGACAGAGCAGTTGCTGAGCCCAGAGTGTTGGAGGGTGACTCTGCGTGTGCTGGGAGTCTCTCCTCCCCCCTGCAACACCAAAACCACAGCAGAGCCTTCCGGGACCGCCGATACCCCCAAACCCACATCTGCCTCCCCTCGACGAGCCCCCATCACCCTCTCTCCTCAGCAGGTGAGTCTGCTGAAAGTCTTCCTAAATCCAGATATTCAATACAGTTAATTTACAATACAGTTTATTTAAGAAACAACCCTGACCCCTGCCTTGTCTCCTGATTGGCCCCTCCCCAGGTGGAGGAGACAGTTGATTGGCTGTGTGAGTATTTCCTGCAATGTCGTCTCAGTAAGGCAGACCTCTGCAGCTTTGGCCTTTACTCCGCCTGGGCGCCATACGTCAGTGAGGTCACCGCGTTCTGGGGATATCTGATTGGCTACCTCATCGACCTACAGCTCAGTGCCTGCGCCAGGGAGCCACTGGGGGCAGCCAGAGTGATGAAAGGTACGAGACATAGAATGACATATAGAACTCATATAGATATACATGTACATACAGTGATTTTATAGGATCTCTGTGGTACCAGACACAGTTCTAGGTTGTGTCATGCATGCATTCTGTTTTCCCAGTTGCTGTGCTGACAGATCTCCTTCTCCCCTCTCCTCTCTTCCTCTCGCTGTCTCTTTCAGCCCTGCAGGATCTAAACAGTAAGATGGTCCGGCTATTTAAGCCCTGGATCCTGGTTCTGGAGACAGACAACGTCAGGTACATACACCTCTCTATCCCTCCATCACTTTTTCTCCCTTTGCTTATCTCCCTCTCACCGACCTCCTTCTCACCTCACCTTGCATAACATTCACACAGAACTTGAGGCCTGTGGTATTGCTCTGTTTAGACTACAATATGTTCACTCTCTCTCTGTATCTCTGTGTGTATCTCTGTGTGTCTCTCTGTCTGTCTCTCTGTCTGTTCTCTGTCTCTCTCTTTGTCTCTGTCTCTCTCTCTGTCTCTCTCTTTGTCTCTCTCTTTGTCTCTGTCTCTCTGTCTCTTTGTCTGTGTAATCCAAGGTGTTATCCCTGGTTGGAGTCCGATGCCAGCGCTGCAGGCTGTCTTGTGGGACTCTACGCCCAGCTCACCCAAAACACTACACCACAAGTTCAGAGGTGTGTGAGATGTCATGAAAGTCATTCATGTGTTTGCATGTGTAGGTCTACGTTTAAGATATCCATAAACTAATGTACACTGAGTATACAAAACATTAAGAACACCTGCTCTTTCCATGACATAGGCTGACCAGGTGAATCCAGGTGAAAGCTACGGTCACTTGTTAAATCCACTTAAATCAGTGTAGATGAAGGGGAGGAGACAGGTTAAATAAGGATTTTTAAGCCTTGAAACAATTGAGACATGGTTTGTGTATGTGTGCCATTCAGAGAGTGAATGGGCAAGACAAAATATTTAAGTGCCTTTGAATGGGGTATGGTAGTAGGTGCCAGGCGCACCAGTTTGTGTCAAACCCACCAGTGTGCAGTTCTTTTCACGCTCAACTGTTTCCCATGTGTATCAAGAATGGTCCAGAACCAAAAGGACATCCAGACAACTTGACACAACTGTGGGAAGCATTGGAGTCAACATGGGCCAGCATCCCTGTGGAACGCTTTCGACACCTTATAGAGTACATGCCCTGACGAATTGAGGCTGTTCTGAGGGCAAAAGAGGAGGGGCGGTGTTCCTAATGTTTGGTGTGTTCCAGAGCGTCTTCTCCCCGGGCAGCGTGGAGCTCTATGGCTGTGTCTGATGCAGTACTGTGACAGCTGCAGCTCTCCTCGTACTCCTGAGTACCTCCTCTACCTTTACCACACACACCTCCGCAGCCTGCCCTGGACACACCTGCACCCCGACACACACCTCATGGAACAGCTCTTCAATGTAAGACCCTAAGCCTAACCACTAACCCTGGTGTAGATTGTGTTTTGGTACCCAAGGTTAATCTGTTCCCCTGCAGGTGGAGAGAGGAAGTCGTAAGAGCTGCTTCCTCTTCCTTGGGGCAGTCCTCTGTGAGGTCAACTGGGTCAGCGTTCTGGGTGACAGCCTGCAAACCCCGGCAAGCTCTAACAGGAACATACACACAGACTCACACAAGATGCTGGTGTATCTGCTCTACATGCTGGTGTTCCTCACTAAAGAAGAGCAGCTGCTCAGCCAACCGGTGAGTGAGTATTAGGATGTTAGGATGCTGGATAGCTGTGTTTGTGTTTGTACACGACTTAGTAATCACTTTGTTTATTTATGTATTACCTCATTATAACTGGTGTGTAGCTCTGTTAAACTCTCCATGTCGGTGGGTATAAAGCTATCGACTATGGTTATATTGGGATTTTGTGGGAGATGGAATTTTTGACTGTCTGTACCTGGTATCGATTATTTTCCCCTCTTCCTCCAGGACTCCCCTCTTCTTAGTCTGTTGGTCCAGTCAGCCTTTCTGCCATGGCACCAGGTTGACCATTCCTCCTACCAAGGGATCATGGGATATCTAGGCACCCACTACCCTCCCTCTCTGCTGCTCAGCACAGACTTCGCTCCTCAGACGCTGCTCCAATCACTACGTAGCGCTGCTGGGCTACGGCCACGCCCCCACGGAATGCCACAACGGGTGAGAAAGAGGGGACACAACAAAATAATCTCACCCTCTCTTTTTCTCTATTTTTATCATTAACATACAGACAGTCAATCTCTACTCACTCTATTATAGATGGACTGTCTTTCATTACCACAGACAAAATGAATGCCCTAATCTCTCTCCCTTTCGTTCTCTGTAGGACGAGACCGTCAAGGCCGGTGTGTGTGTGCGCTGGTGTGTCCAGTGCCTGGTCTCTCTGGAGCAGAGTGGCAGCATCAGTCTGGCTAACCTGGAGACGCAGCTAGAGACACTACTGGAGAGCATCATCACCTTCAACCCACCTGGTAAGAACTCTTCATCATCATCATCATTATCTTCATCACCTCCATCAATAATCTTCATTTTTGCTTTGTTATAACAAGATTTTATCTTTCTCTCTCTTCCTGCTTCTCTCTCTCTCTCTCTCTCTCTCTCTCTCTCTCTCTCTCTCTCTCTCTCTCTCTCTCTCTCTCTCTCTCTCTCTCTCTCTCTCTCTCTAGAGCTGGGCTTGGAGCAAAGACACATGGCATTCTGTAGTCTGTTCTGTGGTTCGCTGGCTTTGCTGAACAGAGTGGGCGTGTCTACAGGCGAGGCCCTGGCGGCTCGTGTCATTGGCTGGCTGGACAGGAAGGGGCAGGGTTTTCCAGTGCTGCCGCTCCTGACCGCTTGCTCCCGTTGCCTAGCGTCCCTACGCCACATGACCCGTATCACAGAGGCTTGCATCATCGCCTACTTCACCCATGGTAACCACGGAGACAGTAACCATGGGAAGGGTTTCCCAAGGAAGGGCTTAGGGGAGGGTCTGTGTCAGGGTTTCTCAGCAGGGGGTACTGGTGATGGACAGTTGTATTTCTTGTACTTTATTTCACACATGATGTGAAAACCACACTCGATAGCTCTTCCTCTCCCCTCCCTCTCCATCTTTCTCACTCTAGCGGAAGAGGAGGGTGTGGGGTGGGGTCCTGTGTTGGCATCCCTGCAGGTGCCTGAGCTGACCGTGGATGACTTCCTGTCCGAGAGCCAATCAGGAGGCAGCTTCCTAACACTCTACGCTTACATCCTGCAGCGCCTCAACATGGAACACACTGCGGCCAATGAGAAGAGAACACTCGCTTTACTCAACACATGGACCAGTCAGGTCTTCCCCAGGTCTGACCCCCTCCCCCTGTGTGTGTGTGTGTGTGTGTGTGTTTGTGTGTGTCTGTCTGTAATATAGTTTGTCTCTCTCTCCAAGTGATCCCGGTGACGAGGCCAAGTTGTTCCTGTGGTGGCACAAGGCCCTGTGTGTGTCTGTGGAGCAGCTGCAGCCGGGGCTGGGGGAGGTCCCGGCCGTGGTAGCGGGCCTACTGCGGCTGCAGACTCTGCTCTCTCAGATGGGAGAGGAGAGACTCAGTTCAGGACTGCTGGGGGCTATAGGATTGGGCCGCCGATCACCCCTATCAAACAGGTACACACACACAGACATACTGTACATACACTGATTATACCAAACATTAGGAACACCTTCCTAATATTGAGTTACACCCCCCCCTTTTGCCCTCAGAACAACCTCAATCTGTCGGGGCATGGACTCTACAAGGTGTGGAAAACGTTCCACAGGGAATCTGGCCCATGTTGACTACAATGCTTCCCACAGTTGTGTCAAGTTGGCTGGATGTCGTTTGGGTGATGGACCATTCTTGATACACATGGGAAACTGTTGAGCGTGAAAAACCCAGCAGAGTTGCAGTTCTTGACACACTCAAACCGGTGCGCCTGGCCCCATTCAAAGGCACTTAAATATCTTGCCCATTCACCCTCTGAATGGCACACATACACTACCAGTCAAAAGTTTTAGAACACCTACTCAATCAAGGGTTTTTCTTTATTTTTACTATTTTCTACATTGTAGAATAATAGTGAAGACATCAACACTATGAAATAACACATGTGGAATCATGTAGTAACCAAAAAAAGTGTTAAACAAATCAAAAAATATATATTTTTTGAGATTCTTCAAATAGCCACCCTTTGCCTTGATGTCAGCTTTGCACACTCTTGTCATTCTCTCAACCAGCTTCACCTGGACTGCTTTTCCAACAGTCTTGATTGAGTTCCCACATATGCTGAGCACTTGTTGGCTGCTTTTCCTTCACTCTGCGGTCCGATTGTGGAGGCCAGGTCATCTGATGCAGGTCTCCATCACTCTGCTTCTTGGTCAAATAGCCCTTACACAGCCTGGATGTGTGTTGGGTCATTGTCCTGTTGAAAAACAAATGATAGTCCCACTAAGCCCAAACCAGATGGGATGGTGTATCGCTGCAGAATGCTGTGGTAGCCATGCTGGTTAAGTGTGCCTTGAATTCTAAATAAATCACAGACAGTGTCACCAGCAAAGCACCCCCACATCATAACACCTCCTCCTCCATGCTTTACGATGGGAAATACAGATGCGGAGATCATCCGTTCACCCACACCGCGTCTCACAAAGACACGGCGGTTGGAACCAAAAATCTCAAATTTGGACTCCAGACCAAAGGACAAATTTCCACCGGTCTAATGTCCATTGCTCGTGTTTCTTGGCCCAAGCAGGTCTCTTCTTCTTATTGGTGTCCTTTAGTAGCGGTTTCTTTGCAGCAATTCGACCATGAAGGCCTGATTCACACAGTCCCCTTTGAACAGTTGATGTTGAGATGTGTCTGTTACTTGAACTTTGTGAAGCATTTATTTGGGCTGCAATTTCTGAGACTGGTAACTCTAATGAACTTATTCTCTGCAGAAAAGGTAACTCTGGGTCTTCCATTCCTGTGGCAGTCCTCATGAGAGCCAGTTTCATCATAGCGCTTGATGGTTTTTGCGACAGTACTTGAAGGAACTTTCAAAGTTCTTGAAATTTTCCGGAGTGACTGACCTTCATGTCTTAAAGTAATGATGGACTGTCGTTTCTCTTTGCTTATTTGAAATGTTCTTGCCATTATATGGACTTGGTCTTTTACCAAATAGGGCTGTCTTCTGTATACCCCTCCTACCTTGTCACAACACAACTGATTGGCTCAAACGCATTAAGAAGGAAATAAATTACAAATGCATTCCAGGTGACTACCTCATGAAACTGGTTGAGAGAATGCCAAGAGTGTGCAAAGCTGTCATTAAGGCAAAGGGTGGCTATTTGAAGAATCTCATATATATATATATATATATATATATATATATATATATATATATATATATATATATATATATATATATATATATATATATATATATATATATATATATATATATATATATATATATATATATATATATATATATATATAAAATATATAAAATATATTTGGATTTGTTTAACACTTTTTTTGGTTACTACATGATTCCATATGTGTTATTTCATAGTTTTGATGTCTTTACTATGATTCTACAATGGAGAAAATAGTCAAAATAAAGAAAAACCCTTGAATGAGCAGGTGTTCTAAAACTTTTGACCAGTAGTGTATACAATCCATGTCTCAATTGTCTCAAGGCTTAAAAATCATTCTTTAACCTGTCCCCTCCACTTTGTCTACACTGATTTGAAGTGGATTTAACATAATGAACAAAAATATAAACGTAACTTGCAACAATTTTAAAGATTTTACTGAGTTACAGTTCATATAAGGGAATCGGTCAGTTGAAATAAATTCATTTGGCCCTAATCTATGGATTTCACATGACTGGGCAGGATGCCGCCATTGTTGGGACTGGGAGAGCATAGGCCTACCCACTGGGGAGCCAGGCCCAGCAAATCAGAATGAGTTTTTCCCCACAAAAGGGCTTTATTACAGACAGAAATACTTCTCAGCACTCCCCCCACCACCCCTCAGACGATCCCGCAGGTGATGAAGCCGAATGTGGATATCAAGGGCTGGCGTGGTTACACGTGGTCTGCGGGTGTGTGGCCGGTTAGACGTACTGCCAAATTCTCTATAACTACGTCGGAGGCAGTGGCAACCGCTCTGGTGGACATTCAGCATGCCAATTGCACGCTCCCTCAAAACTTGAGACATCTGTGGCATTGTGTTGTGTGACAAAACTGCACATTTTAAAGTGGCCTTTTATTGTCCCCAGCACAAGGTGCACCTGTGTAATGATCATGCTGTTTAATCAGCTTCTTGATATGTCACACCTGTCAGTTGGATGGATTATCTTGGCAAAGGAGAAATGCTCACTAACAGGGATGTAAACTAATTTGTGCACAACATTTGAGAAAAATAAGCTTTTTGTGTGTATGGAACGTTTCGGGTATTTTTTTATTTCAGCTTATGAAACATTGGACCAACACTTTACATGTTGCGTTTTATATTTTTGTTCAGTGTAGCTTTCACCTGGTCAGTCTGTCATGGAAAGGGCCGTTTATTTTTTATATACTCTGTGTGTATATACAGTCGTGGTCAAAAGTTTTGAGAATGACACATTAATTTTCACAAAGTCTGCTGCTCAGTTTTTTGTTATGAAGAGTGATCAGATGAATTGCAATTAATTGCAAAGTCCCTCTTTGCCATGAAAATGAACTTAATCCCCCAAAAACATTTCCACTGCATTTCAGCCCTGCCACAAAAGCACCAGCTGACATCATGTCAATGATTCTCTCGTTAACACAGGTGAGAGTGAGTGTTGACGAGGACAGGGCTGGAGATCACTCTGTCATGCTGATTGAGTTAGAATAACAGACTGGAAGCTTTAAAAGGAGGGTGGTGCTTGAAATCATTGTTCTTCCTCTGTTAACCATGGTTACCTGCAAGGAAACACGTACAGTCATCATTGCTTTGCATAAAAAGGGCTTCGCAGGCAAGGATATTGCTGCTAGTAAGATTGCACCTAAATCAACCATTTATCGGATCATCAAGAACTTCAAGGAGAGAGGTTCAATTGTTGTGAAGAAGGCTTCAGGGCGCCCAAGAAAGTCCAGCAAGCGCCAGGACCGTCTCCTAAAGTTGATTCAGCTGCGGGATCGGGGCACCACCAGTGCAGAGCTTGCTCAGGAATGGCAGCAGGCAGGTGTGAGTGCATCTGCACGCACAGTGAGGCGAAGACTTTTGGAGGATGGCCTGGTGTCAAGAAGGGCAGCGAGGAAGCCACTTCTCTCCAGGAAAAACATCAGGGACAGACTGATATTCTGCAAAAGGTACAGGGATTGGACTGCTGAGGACTGGGGTAAAGTCATTTTCTCTGATGAATCCCCTTTACGATTGTTTGGGGCATCCGGAAAAAAGCTTGTCCGGAGAAGACAAGGTGAGCACAACCATCAGTCCTGTGTCATGCCAACAGTAAAGCATCCTTAGACCATTCATGTGTGGGGTTGCTTCTCAGCCAAGGGAGTGGTTTCACTCACAATTTTTTCTAAGAACACAACCATGAATAAAGAATGGTACCAACACATCCTCCGAGAGCAACTTCTCCTAACCATCCAAGAACAGTTTGGTGACGAACAATGCCTTTTCCAGCATGATGGAGCACCTTGCGATAAGGCAAAAGTGATAACTAAGTGGCTTGGGGAACAAAACATCGACATTTTGGGTCCATGGCCAGGAAACTCCCCAGACCTTAATCCCATAGAGAACTTGTGGTCAATCCTCGAGGCGGGTGGACAAACAAAACCCCACAAATTCTGACAAACTCCAAGCATTGATTATGCAAGAATGGGCTGCCATCAGTCAGGATGTGGCCCAGAAGTTAATTGACAGTATGCCAGGGCGGATTGCAGAGGTCTTGAAAAAGATATATATATATATATATATAAGCAAATATTGACTCTCTGCATAAACTTAATGTAATTGTCAATAAAAGCCTTTGACACTTATGGAATGCTTGTAATTATACTTCAGTATACCATAGTAACATCTGACAAAAATATCTAAAAACACTGAAGCAGCAAACTTTGTGAAGACCAATACTCGTGTCATTCTCAAAACTTTTGACCACGACTGTACACCTACTGTGTTTCCTGTTTGTATCTTTTGGTAACGTTTGTGTGTAGGTTCAGGGTGGTGGTGCGCAGTCTGTCTGCATTTCTCTCAGTCCAGATTCCCTCCGAGGACCAAGTCCGCCTCCAGCCCAGCACCGACCTACAGCTGACTGCTAAAGCACAACAGGTACACACACACACACACACACACACACACACACACACACACACACACACACACACACACACACACACACACACACAGCCACTCACTCACTCACTCACTCATCCTGTTTGTTGTATGTGTGTTTCTAGGCACTGGCTGTGTTGAAGTCCATGGCCAGCAGTAAGCAGTATGCTGACATGGAGGACTCTTTAGGAAAAGCTGTCCAGTTCATCCACTACCCAGGACACTGTCTTAAAGACGGAACTCGCCTCCTCTCTCTGCTGGCCAACCTCCTCTACCCAGACCACAGATACCTCAACATCATACGATAGCAGTGCCAGTTAGCATCGGCTAGCACTGTGACACAGTATGCTAAACAGGAAAAGTTAGAATAGCAACCTATCCTGTGGTCAAAACTAGGGAACTACATGGGGAATATAGTGTAATTTCAGATGTGCACCGATATGCTAGTAGCCTCCTAGCCATCGTATGCTGGACTGTTAGACATAATGGACTAGCTCTGACGACTGGATCTCAGGACCGGACATCATTTGATTGTTAATGATTGTTGCACAACTATAGGTTTATCATATCAGTCAAAGCTCTAGTTATTAGAGTATGATACTTACTCTCTATGTTTGTGACTTTCTATCTGTCTCTCACTCTGTCTGCACAGATATATTTGCTGCCAATTTGCTTTTTTAAATAAGGGTGTTGCCTGTTAATTTTAATTACTTTACCTGTTCCCCCACGTTTTGGCTATGGCTGATGTTGCAAGTGTTTGACAATTATGAAGCCGAGTTATCAAAAACAAAGCCACAGACATTCTACCATAAGGCAGTGGCACTGATTTAACTTATTCTCTGTGATCACAATTTAATGATGGAGATTATTACTCGTGTTGTTGAAGTTTAAAAATATATATATATTTTTTTAAGTTCTTCCCCAGTGGTGCATGTGGAGAAAGCTTTTACATACCAGTATTATTTGCCCATATTTGGTTGTGTATTTATTTCTTATTGAATGCTAGAGGATGAACCCATCAGCTAGGCGGCCTGCTACATTGAGGGTTGATTGGCGCACAGTAAATATTTGGTCAAAAGTGCTTTTTTTGTTCCTGCAAAATACTTCCTCTGTTAGACAGTTACTCTTAATCATATAGTTGTATTCCTTTCATCACCATGCTGTTGGGGTAGACAGAGACCGCACTATATCCTCAATTGGAGCAGCACATGCTAGGATATACTATAGGCCTGTGCATTTGGACAGAAAATACACATGCAAGTCATCAATCAGCCTTCGGAGAAACCATCTTGTTTTGTACACTCAGTTATTCTGACTGCCTCCCAAATGCTACCCTATTCCCTTTACAGAGCACTACTTTTGACCAGGGCCCACAGGGCTCTGGTCAAAAGTAGTGCACTATGTAGGGAATTGGGTGACATTTGAGACGCTGCCAGGTATTCAGAGTACTGTGGTGTGACATAGCAGCAGTTTTATGATTGTACTTTATGTAACCTGCCTTACTGCCTGTGCTTCAGTATGTGGTGACTGTGTGTTAAGTGCCATAAGAGTTTCTCTGTGTGACTCACTCACAATGGGCTGCCAGAGGGGAGCAATGTTACAGAGCGATCGACTAGAAATATAAAATGTAAAACAGACAAGACTCCCTGTCCTGTAGTCTCAAATAGGGAAGTGTGCCAGGTCTTGCCCCCCTGAATGTACCCCTGGCTGGTTGACTGTGTGTATATGATCAGCCTTGTCTACAGGCATGCCTAGCACAGGATCATAATATAAAGATTTAAAGGTATAAAATAATAAAAAGAATAGTGACACGAGGAATAAATACACGAATAACAATAACGAGTAAAAATAACATGGCTATATACAGGGAGTACCAGTACCAGTGGATGTGCAGGGGTATGAGGTAGCTATGTACATATAGGTAGAGTTAGTGACTAGGCAACAGGATAGATAAGACAGTAGCAGCAGCGTGTGTGCGTAATCGTCAGCAGGGGTTGAAACTGATATTATTTTCAAATAGTTTAGTTCTGAACAGAACCTCCATTTTTTTCTGTTTCGTTCCACTGTTCCGACCATCAAAATAAAGTTCTGAACCGGTTCGAACCCCCAAAAAGTACTGGTTTATATTGTGCCTTTTCTGTTAATTTTTTAACCTGTGAAATCAAGTGTTTTTTAGCTCATTAAATACACCAATCAGTGCGAATAGAGCAGGCAAGGTAGTTGTTTACATGTGTGATGGACAGACAAGTGTAGCCTATGGTGCAAGATGCGACTGGAATTTTGCTGGAAGGGAGAGTGTGAGGAGGCTTGAAGTGCTGGGCATCTTGTTATGACATGCATTATATGAATTATGTCCACAGAATTATACTTAAGAGGAGCGGCTTCTATGGAGGAACTTTTAATGTCTTTTGAGCTAGCTAGCTAACAAGCTTGTGTGTGCAGAGCAACACTATAATTAAAAACACGTCTTACCTTTTTGTAGTTAATAAATCCAACGTGAAAGGTGATAACTAAGCCTATGATACCCTTAACTAGCATTGAAAAAGTTAATCCATTCTTCTCTAGCTTTCCATTCTTCTCGATCTCTCCCCATCTTCTGAATCAAGCTTGTAACGTCAGTATAGTAGCCTATGCTTCGGAGGGGGGTAGCCTAAACCGGCACAGGCAAAGATTTTCTGCTTGCAGCAGGCAGACACTGGAATACATTTCTGAGTGACAGATTGTGGGCTTTGCATAGGCGGGTCCTGTTGGTTTCAGACTTGGTGCACTGGTACCGCTTCCCGTGCGGTAGCAGAGAGAACAGTCTATGGCTTGGGTGGCTGGAGTCTTTGACAGTTTTTTGGGGGCCTTCCTCTGACCGCTTGGTATAGAGGTCCTGGATGACGGGGAGCTCAGCCCCAGTGATGTACTGGGCCGTACTTACCACCATCTGTAGCACCTTGCGGTCGGGTGCCTTGCAGTTGCCATACCAAGCGTTGATGCAGCCAGTCAAGATTCTCTCAATAGTGTAGCCAATCAGACCTTTATGGTAGAGTGGCCAGACGGAAGCCACTCCTCAGTAAAAGGCACATGAGAGCCCACTTGGAGTTTGCCAAAAGGCACCTAAAGGACTCTCAGCCCATGAGAAACAAGATTATCTGGTCTGATGAAACCAAGATTGAACTCTTTGGGCTGAATGCCAAGCGTCACGTCTGGAGGAAACCTGGCACCATCCCTAGGGTGAGGCATGGTGGTGGCAGCATCATGTTCTGGGGACGTCTTTCAGCGGCAGGGACTGGGAGACTAGTCAGGATCGAGGGAAAGATGAACTCAGGACCTCAGACTGGGGCGAAGGTTCACCTTCCAACAGCACAACGACCCTAAGCACACAGCCAAGACAATGCAGGAGTGGCTTCGGGACAAGTCTCTGAATGTCCTTGAGTGGCCCAGCCAGAGCCCGGACTTGAACCCGATCGAACATCTCTGGAGAGACCTGAAAATAGCTGTGCAGCAACGCTCCCCATCCAACCGGACAGAGATTGAGAGGATCTGCTGAGAAGAATGGGAGAAACTCCCCAAATACAGATGTGCCAAGCTTGTAGCGTCATACCCAAGAAGACTCAAGGCTGTAATCGCTGCCAAAGGTGCTTCAACAAAGTACTGAGTAAATCAATCAATCAAATGTATTTATAAAGCCCTTTTTACATCAGTAGATGTCACAAAGTGCTATACAGAAACCCAGCCTAAAACCCCAAACAGCAAGCAATGCAGATGTAGAAGCACGGTGGCTAGGAAAAACTCCCTAGAAAGGAACCTGGAGAGGAACCAGGCTCTGAGGGGTGTGGAGATTATAACTACATGGCCATTAAGGCCAGATTTTTCTTCAATATGTTCAAACGTTCATAGATGACCAGCAGGGTCAAATAATAATCACAGTGGTTGTAGAGGTTGCAACAGGTCAGTACATCAGGAGTAAATGTTACTTGGCTTTTCATAGCCGGGCATTTAGAGGTTGAAATAGCAGGTGCGGTAGAGCGAGAGTTGAAAACGGCAGGTCTGGGACAAGGTAGCACGTCCGGTGAACAGATCAGGTTTCCATAGCCGCAGGCAGAAGAGTTGAAACTGGAGCAGCAGCACGACCAGGTGGACTGGGGACAGCAAGGAGTCATCAGGCCAGGTAGTCCTGAGGCATGGTCCTAGGGCTCAGGTCCTCTGGGAGGGGAGGGAGAGAGAGAATTAGAGGGAGCATACTTAAATTCACACAGGACACCAGATAAGACAGGAGAATAACACCAGATATAACAGACTGACCCTAGCCCCCCGGCACATAGACTATTGCAGCATAGATACTGGAGGCTGAGACGGGGGGTCGGGAGACACTGTGGCCCTGTCCAACGATACCCCCAGACAGGGCCAACCAGGCAGGATATAACCCCACCCACTTTGCCAAAGCACAGCCCCCACACAGCCAGAGGGATATCAACAGACCACCAACCTACTACCCTGAAACAAGGCTGAGTATAGCCCACAAAGATCTCCTCCACTGCACGAGCCCGAGGGGGCGACAAACCAGTCAAGTGACGCACCCCTCCTAGGGACGGCATGGAAAGCACCAGTAAGCCAGTGACTCAGCCTCCGTCCTCCGTAATAGGGTCAGAGGCAGAGAATCCCAATGGAGAGACGGGAACCGGCCAGGCAGACCGCAAGGGCGGTTTGTCGCTCCAGTGCCTTTCCGTTCACCTTCGCACCCCTGGGCCAGACTACACTCAATCATAGGAGCTGAGTCTTCAGTAAAGCCTTAAAGGTCGAGACCGAGTCTGCATCTCTCAAATAGATAGGCATACCATTCCATAAAAATTTAGCTCTATAGGAGAAAGCCCTGCCTCCAGCTGTTTTCTTAGAAATTCTAGGGACAATAAGGAGGCCTGCATCTTGTGACCGTAGCGTACGTGTAGGTATGTAAAGCAGGACCAAATCGGAGAGATAGGTAGGAGCAAGCCCATGTAATGCTTTGTAGCTTAGCAGTAAAACCTTGAAATCAGCCCTAGCCTTAACAGGAAGCCAGTGTAGAGAGGCTAGGACTGGAGTAATATGATCCAATTTGTTGGTTCTAGTCAAGATTCTAGCAGCCGTGTTTATCACTATCTGAAGTTTATTTAGTGCTTTATCCGGGTAGCCGGAGAGTAGAGCATTGCAGTAGTCTAATCTAGAAGTGACTAAAGCATGGATTAGATTTTCTGCATCATTTTTGTACAAAAAGTTTAAGATTTTTGCAATTTTACGAAGATGGAAAAAAGCTGTCCTTGAAATATTCTTGATATCAAATCAAATCAAATCACTTTTTATTTGCCACATGCGCCGAATACAACAGGTGTAGACGTTACAGTGAAATGCTTACTTACAAGCCCTTAACCAACAATGCATATTTTTTTTAAGTGTTAAGTAAAAAAGATAAAAGCAAATAACTAAAGAGCAGCAGTAAATTAAAATAACAGTAGGGAGGCTATATACAGGGGGGTACCGGTGCAAAGTCAATGTGGCTAGTCAAACCGGCTAGTCGAGGTAATTGAGGTAATATGTACATGTGGGTAGAGTTAAAGTGACTATGCATAAATAATAAACAGAGTAGCAGCAGCAGCAGCAGGGGGGTGGGGGTGGGGGGTCAGTGCAAATAGTCTGGGTAGCAATGATTAGCTGTTCAGGAGTCTTATGGCTTGGGGGTAGAAGCTGTTGAGAAGCCTTTTGGACCTAGACTTGGCGCTCTGTTTCCGCTTGCCGTGCGGTTGCAGAGAGAACAGTCTATGACTAGGGTGGCTGGAGTCTTTGACAATTTTGAGGGCCTTCCTCTGACACCGCCTGGTATAGAGGTCCTGGATGGCAGGAAGCTTGGCCCCAGTGATGTACTGGGCCGTACGCACTACCCTCTGTAGTGCCTTGCGGTCGGAGGCCGAGCAGTTGCCATACCAGGCGGTGATACAACCAGTCAGGATGCTCTCGATGGTGCAGGTGTAGAACTTTTTGAGGATCTGAGGACCCATGCCAAATCTTTTCAGTCTCCTGAGGGGGAATAGGCTTTGTCGTGCCCTCTTCACGACTGTCTTGGTGTGTTTGGACCATGATAGTTCGTTGGTGATGTGCACACCAAGGAACTTAAAGCTCTCAACCTGTTCCACTACAGCCCCTTCGATGAGAATCCTCTTTTTTTTTCCTGCAGTCCACAATCATCTCCTTTGTCTTGATCACGTTGAGGGAGAGGTTGTTATCCTGGCACCACACGGCCAGGTTTCGGACCTCCTCCCTATAGGCTGTCTCATCGTTGTCGGTGATCAGGCCTACCACTGTTGTGTCATCAGAAAACTTAATGACGGTGTTGGAGTCGTGCCTGGCCATGCAGTCATGGGTGAACAGGGAGTACAGGAGGGGCCTGAGCATGCACCCCTGAGGGGCCCCCGTGTTGAGGATCAGCGTGGCAGATGTGTTGTAACCTACCCTTACCACCTGGGGGGCGGTCGTCAGGAAATCCAGGATCCAGTTGCAGAGGGAGGTGTTTAGTCCCAGGATCCTTAGTTTAGTGGTGAGCTTTGAGGGCACTATGGTGTTGAATGCTGAGCTGTAGTCAATGAACAGCATTCTCACGTAGGTGTTCCTCTTGTCCAGGTGGGAAAGGGCAGTGTGGAGTGCAATAGAGATTGCATCATCTGTGGATCTGTTGGGGTGGTATGCAAATTGGAGTGGGTCTAGGGTTTCTGGGATAATAGTGTTGATATGAGCCATGACCAGCCTTTCAAAGCACTTCATGGCTACAGACGTGAGTGCTACGGGTCGGTAGTCATTTAGGCAGGTTATCTTGGTGTCATTGGGCACAGGGATTATGGTGGTCTGCTTGAAACATGTTGGTATTACAGACTCAGTCAGGGACATGTTGAAAATGTCAGTGAAGACACTTGCCAGTTGGTCAGCATATGTTCGGAGTACACGTCCTGGTAATCCGTCTGGCCCTACGGCCTTGTGAATGTTGACCTGCTTAAAAGTCTTACTGACATCGGCTACGGAGAGCGTGATCACATAGTCATCCAGAACAGCTGGTGCTCTCATGCATGCTTCAGTGTTGCTTGCCTCGAAGCGAGCATAGAAGTGATTTAGCTTGTCTGGTAGGCTTGTGTCACTGGGCAGCTCACGGCTGTGCTTCCTTTTGTAGTCTGTAATAGTTTTCAAGCCCTGCCACATCCGACGAGTGTCAGAGCCGGTGTAGTACGATTCAATCTTAGTCCGGTATTGACTCTTTGCCTGTTTGATGGTTCGTCGGAGGGCATAGCGGGATTTCTTATAGGCGTCCGGGTTAGAGTCCCGCTCCTTGAAAGCGGCAGCTCTACCCTTTAGCTCAGTGCGGATGTTGCCTGTAATCCATGGCTTCTGGTTGGGGTATGTATGTACGGTCACTGTGGGGACGACGTCATCGATGCACTTATTGATGAAGCCAGTGACTGATGTGGTGTACTCCTCAATGCTATCTGAAGAATCCCGGAACATATTCCAGTCTGTGCTAGCAAAACAGTCCTGTAGCTTAGCATCTGCATCATCTGACCACTTTTTTATTAACCGAGTCACTGGTGCTTCCTGCTTTAGTTTTTGCTTATAAGCAGGAATCAGGAGGATAGAGTTATGGTCAGATTTGCCAAATGGATGGCGAGGGAGAGCTTTGTACGCATCTCTGTGTGTGGAGTAAAGGTGGTCTAGAGTTTTTTTCCTCTGGTTGCACGCTTGTGCTCATGCATCGTTCAGTGTTGCTTTCCTCGAAGCAAGCATAGAAGGCATTTAGCTTGTCTGGTAGGCTTGCATCGCTGGGCAGCTGGGTTTTATGTAGGGGGTGGAATTGGAAAAGAATCACTGGGGAATTTAGTTTGGGAACAGTGTTTCCACACATTCTCCCCCAATTCCACCCCTGGGGATATGGTGTATAGATGCTGTGTATAGAAGTGGGCTACATCTGCGATCTGGAATTAATACTTTTTCTGAAATGAAACCGAGTGAGTCTTTATCAATGATGTGTTCGTGTAGCTCTTCTGGCACCTCTTCACTGTCTGGGAGAGGAGTGTGCTGCACTCTAGATGCCAGCGGTCTCCATGGATACGGGATGGATAGAACTTAGAAGTGGAGAAGAGAACGGGGTGTACAGTACTGAGCCCATCAGATGGAGGAGAGACGCTACATAGACACACACATGCTGTGTCTCGCTAGACTCCAGCAGGTCTGTATATGAGTCAGTTAGATTTACACCTTCACTATGTGACAACTTCTGTTACCCCTTCTGCTGGGACGGGGACACACACTCACCGCTCTTAAACCCTCACCACCCTCATACACACACAGGACCAGACAGATACAGAAAGCACTCAGAGGGCTTCTGTCTAGCAGCTCCTTCTGTTGTCATGGAAACAAACATTGAGTCAGCACTCAGTGTCTAGAGCCTTCCTGTATACACACAGAAATATTACCCAATGTCCCCTTGTGGGATTAATCAAGTTTCTTCAAATTACCCTATTGCACTCACACTCACTTACACTACCAGTCAAAAGTTTTAGAACATCTACTCATTCAAGGGTTTTTGTTTATTTTAAAAAATGTCTACATTGTAGAATAATAGTGAAGACATCAAAACTATGATATAACACATATGGAATCATGTAGTAACCAAAAAAGGGTTAAACAAATCAAAATGTATTTTCTATTTGAGATTCTTCAAATAGCCACCCTTTGCATTGATGACAGCTTTGCACACTCTTGTCATTCTTTCAACCAGCTTCACCTGGAATGCTTTTCCAACAGTGTTGAAGGAGTTCCCACATATGCTGAGCACTTGTTGGCTGCTTTTCCTTCACTCTGCAGTCCGACTCATCCCAAACCATCTCAATTTGGTTGAGGTCGGGGGATTGTGGAGGCCAGGTCATCTGATGCAGCACTCCATCACTCTCCTTCTTAGTCAAATAGCCCTTACACAGCCTGGAGGTGTGTTGGGTCATTGTCCTGTTGAAAAATAAATTACAGTCCCACTAAGCCCAAACCAGATGGGATGGCGTATCGCTGCAGAATGCTGTGGTAGCCATGCTGGTTAAGTGTGCCTTGAATTCTAAATAAATCACAGACCGTGTCACCAGCAAAGCACCCCCACACCATAACACCTTCTCCTCCATGCTTTAGGTGGGAAATACAGATGCGGAGATCATCCGTTCACCCACACCGCGTCTCACAAAGACACGGCGGTTGGAACCAAAAATCTCCAAATTGGACTCCAGACCAAAGGACACATTTTCACCGGTCTCGTGTTTCTTGGCCCAAGCAAGTCTCTTCTTATTATTGGTGTCCTTTAGTAGTGGTTTCTTTGCAGCAATTCGACCATGAAGGCCTGATTCACACAGTCTCCTCTGAACAGTTGATATTGAGATGTGTCTGTTACTTGAACTCTGTGAAGCATTTATTTGGGCTGCAATTTCTGAGGCTGGTAACTCTAATGAACTTATCCTCTGCAGCAGAGGTAACTCTGGGTCTGTCTTCCATTCCTGTGGTGGTCCTCATGAGAGCCAGTTTCATCATAGCGCTTGATGGTTTTTGCGACTGCACTTGAAGAAAGGTTCAAAGTTCTTGACATTTTCCAGATTGACTGACCTTCATGTCTTAAAGTAATGGTGGACTGTCATTTCTCTTTGCTTATTTGAGCTGTTCTTGCCATAATATGGACTTGGTCTTTTACCAAATAGGGCTATCTACTGTATACCACCCCTACTTTGTCACAGCACAACTGATTGGCTCAGACGCATAAAGAAGGAAAGAAATTCCACAAATTAACTTTTAACAAGGCACACCTGTTAATTGAAATGCATTCCAGGTGACTACCTCATGAAGCTGGTTGAGAGAATGCCAAGAGTGTGCAAAGCTGTCATCAAGGCAAAGGGTGGCTACTTTAAAGAATCTCAAATATAAAATATATTTTGATTTGTTTAACACTTTTTTGGTTACTACATGATTCCATATGTGTTATTTCATAGTTCTGATGTCTTCACAATTATTCCACAATGTAAAAAATAAATAAATCCTTGAATAAGTAGGTGTTCTAAAACTTTTGACTGGTACTGTACGTCTATAGCAAAACACACATACACCTACCCACAGACTTGACAGATGTACAGGGTCTCTGCTGCCACAGGAAAACCCAGCTGGCCACAGGGGAATGTCTCAGGAAATGTCAACAGGAGATATACTGTACTAAGGTATGTGCCCTGACACCAGACACCTGTGTACATGCTGCATGCTCTGTTCTTCACCACTGAGTCACTTGTTTCTTTCACACCTCCTCACCACCCAAGAGAAAGAGATGACTCAAGCTACAGCCGGACTCATCCTGGGCCCACTTTCTCCTTCTTCCCTCTTCTTTCTCTCTGTCTCTATGATTGTCCCTCGGCCTATGTCTCTCCCCCTTCCCTCTCTGTCTACCTTGACTGGCATGCCCACCTGCATCTCTACCTCTCCATCCATCCCACCTATCTCCACCTTTTCAATCCTCCCCTACTTCCTAATGGTTCTGCTCTCTCCTCTCTGAGGTACATTTACTGCTTACATTACAGGCTTCTGAACATAGTGATTTTTCTTGGAAATTGCATAATGTAGGAATAAAAACTATAATCAACTCGTTTAAATATGCTGTAAGTGCTAAGCAGGCAGGTAATGTGCTTAATGGTCAAAATGTCAAGGAAAATATTCTGACAGCAGAACTCTACTGATGACATAACACATCCTCTTCAAAGAGAGGAGAAGAGAAGATGTAGACATGAGGACAGATATAAATACAGTTAATATAGAGCAGGAGATTAGGAAGGAGATGGGCTGCATCTCAATAGTCACCTCTCCTCATATGTAATGAGACTGTGGGTGAAGAAGGTTCTAGTCCCTGAGTGCCAGTGATCACATGTACCAGCGCTGATTATACCACACCAGTGCTGTTTATACCACAGGCATAGGCTACACATGCACAAAATACACACACTGTCCCAGCCTCTAGAACCATCCACGGGCATTGGATACATCTGCCTGGACACAGCCAGCCAGCCAGCGAGAGAGAGAGAGAGAGAGAGAGAGAGACTGTTTTCTTTTACAATGGAATCCCAGCTCTCTCAAACAGAAGCAGAGCTGGAGTGTAGACTAGACTAGCCTTAAACTCCATTCCTGGGAGCTCAAGTAAACCAACAACTCAATGAGTGGATGGATGATTTAATGGATTGGATAAAATGATAACTGAATTCAATCAACTCCTCAGTGCAACAAATTATTGGGAGGGTACGACCGATTGGTGGGCGGGTCCACCGTGGCTGACAGTGCGCATTGAACAGTCCACCGGCAAAATACTCAGCTGTCGCGCAGAGGAGCGGCGAGGGACAGTCAGTGAAGTCCAGAGACAATCACTCGGACACCGTAAGACGGTACTGGACTAACTTACTGAAAGTAGGCATAGTTATAGACTTTCTGACTGGGGCCAGTTGGCTATCAGGCTATTTCAGTTTATGGACAGGCATTTGTTTTCTTCACTGCAGGACTGGCCGTTGTGTTATAGTCTACGTACGCAGTATTTCTCCTTTGATGTTTTACATTGGAAGTGGAAATCAAGTGATGAAGGTCTATTTAATTGAACATCACATACCGCATAACTACCATATGTGATTTGGAGTCATTGATGGATTGGCAGTAATACGGGGTTTTTGGTTTTATTCATTGACGTCAGAGCGTTCTACTGTTTGGTCACCGGCTATTTCAGGTTAAAATTAGCTTTTTGGTCTTCATTTAAGGTTAGGGTTGGGCGTAAGGTTAGCAGTGTGGTTAATGTTAGGGCTATTGTAGAAATAGGCGGGGTTTAGACATAATTAAGACTTTGTGGCTGTGGTAGGCCAACTAGTGACGACCGCTATTTCAGAACAGGTGAGCGATTGAACTGACGTCACAAGATAAAGACTCGAGCGGGATACCCCGGCGGGAGAGAGGAGAGGGACGGGGACATGTTCGTCTGATCTGCCGATTTTCAGCTGAAAATTATCACTGGTAGGAAACGTTTAATTTCGTCCCTCATCTAGTGTTGTTTTTTCTCCCCAGCGCCGGCTGCTGTCAGTTTCCACGGCTGTCATACGCTAATTAAAGCCCATGGAATATGCTGTGTTGCGCCTCTCCGGTTTCTGCATTTGCCAATCGATAGGTTCGATTAACACACAGAGAGTCGTTATTGTCTCTGGTGGAACAGCAACTGCTCATGAAATTCGGTGCTGCGCGGATCGACTCTAAAGCAAAGCTGGTGACCTGTGTGGTTTCTTTGTCTCGTTCTCTACGGTAGAGATTCACGGCAGTGTGGGTAGGTTATTTTGGCTACATGAAAAAGAGAAACAGAAAAGCACCTAAATAACAGCCGTACATAGTCTACCATATGTTGTAGTTTATTCAACGACGCTCGCAGGGAATGTAGGTAGGAGACTGTCTACACTGACAGACGCATGGTCAGTGTCATATTCAACAGCACTGCAGTTTCATGAGGCTATAGCATGTAATGCCTCTTTCTCACACTATGTGCGTGTGAGTGTGTATACCTGTTGTGCTTTAGTGTGTGTAGTAGCAGATTGAGTGGTGCCAGATGGAAGGAAATTCCTCACATGCACTAACTTTTAGCTTTTACTACACTGCCATGGCAACACAACCATACTACATTACTATAGCAACATGGCAAGTTCCACAAATATATCTAATCTCAATGGGGAAAATACTTCTAGATTCATTAGAATACTCACCTATTTACTTACGTAGGTGTGTGTGTCTCACCAGAGAGTCATGCTGGTGTGGATCAGTTTGTCAGCCATAGATGTTATAAAACCCTGGGCATCCCTAACCCAGTAACCTTTCTCACACTCTTCCTCTACCTCCAGAGAGCCAGGTGTGTGTTGGGGGGTCACAGAGAGGTCGTTGCCATGGGGAAGGACTACTATAAGATGCTGGGTATCCCTAAGGGTTCTAACGAGGAGGAGATCAAGAAGGCGTATCGCCGCATGGCACTGAGGTTCCACCCAGACAAGAACACAGACGCCAACGCAGAGGATAAGTTTAAAGAGATCGCTGAGGCCTACGAAGTTCTGAGTGACCCCAAAAAGAGGGTAATCTATGACCAGCTAGGAGAGGAGGGTAAGAGAGAGAGGCTCACTATTCTGAGAGTGTGGTCGGTGTGATTATTAGAAGTGTCATAAAGTCATCTATCTTTCTGTGTGGATCATTGTGTGATAGAGCGAGAACACTGAGCAGACTCCTTTCCTTATTTAGCTATCCCCCAGCACCTCACCCTTCTGCCTCTACTGTCTGACAGTTTACCAGTCTAACTGTTCTCTCCTGTCTGACCAGGTCTTTCCACAGTGTGTTTCCATCTCTCAGAAAGGACTGAATCCATGAGGTGGCGGAGATAAGAATAGCAATGAGGTGGTGTGTGTGTGAGTGTGTTAAGCCCCCCCCCCCGATCCCATGGGAACTCTCTCGCCCATGTGGGTTCTCTATGACTGCTCCTCAAACTCCCTCCTACCTGCTGTAAACAACACTAAAACTCTACAGAGGAGGAATTAGACTACATCTCCATGTGGGTGGGTGTGTGTGTGTGGTGAGTGTGTACTCACAGCCCTCTCTCCCTCCCTCTCTGTCTGTCAGGTCTAAAGGCGGGGGGCAGTAGTGGTCAGTCTGGGGTTCCTGGCGGGTCGTACCACTACACCTTCCATGGGGACCCCCACGCCACCTTCGCATCCTTCTTCGGCGGCTCCAACCCCTTCGACATGTTCTTCGGACCGCACCGCAACCACCACAACCACCATAACCGCTCCAATGGCTTCCACTCTAAGGTCCACAACAACCACAACGACCATGACATGGAAACTGACTTGGATGAGGATGACCCCTTCGCCTCTTTCACACATTTCGGCTTTCCCGGGGGGGTCAACGGCTTCCCTGGCCATGGCGGAGGCAGGAGGAGGGGGGTGCAGTCGGAACGTCTGGGGGGGTCCAGGAGGCAGCAGGACCCCCCGGTGGTCCACGAGCTGAAGGTGTCTCTGGAGGAGATCTTCCATGGTTGCACCAAGCGGATGAAGATCACCAGGAGGAGGCTAAACCCTGATGGCAGGAGCAGCCGTACAGAGGATAAGATCCTGAACATTGTGATAAAAAGGGGATGGAAGGAGGGCACCAAGATCACCTTCCCTAAGGAGGGGGACGAGACACCAGAGAACATTCCAGCAGACATCGCCTTTGTGCTCAAAGACAAAGGACATACCAACTTTAGGAGGGACGGCTCCAATATCATCTACACCTGCAATATCAGTCTGAAGGAGGTAGGATCGGTCTGTCTGTCTGTCTGTCTCTGTTGCTCTGTCTGTCTGTCACTCTGTCTAACTTTCTTTCTCACAAAGCCTCTCTCCACAAATACCTTCACAGAAAACTGTCTGCCTGTGGCATTGCTTTGTCCAGACTACAAAACTCAATGTTTCTCTCTGCCTCTCTTTCGCTCTCCTTCTATCCACAAATACCAGACAGAACACTCACACAGAACTGGAGGCCTGTGGTATTACCCTGTTCAGACAATAGGATTTAACAACAACTATTTTACCCTACACAACACTCACTGTGTCTATTTACCTCTCTAGGTTTTCACAAGGGAAGTGTATGTGTTAATATTATTTTAGTAAGTAAGGATGTTCTAATAAAGTGCATCAAAAGTCACGTCTCTCTGTCTTTCCTACTCTGACTCAGCGCCTCAGGCACCTCTAACAGCAGTACACTGGTGTTCATGTTTCTAGCACTAGTCTTTGGGCAGTGCCGGGAGATGTCTGTGTGTGCAGTTAAACATCAGTACTGCACCTAAAAGGAACTGTTCCTCTAATGAATACACTACCTAGCTCATCACATCCCTCCAGTTTCTCTGTGAAGTGAGCTGAGCCCAAGGTGGGCAGACTGAGTGCTGTGCAGAATGTATCTCTGACACTGCAGTGTGAGTGTGCATGGAGGAATGTGTTATCCCTGTGTGACAGGGCCACTCACACTCTACCCTGTCCTGCCTCATATGTCTTCCTTTATGATAGCTCTTTTAATGAGCACAACAGTCGTTATAGTGCTAACTAAGTCGTCTACTGCTAAAACAGACAATGAAGCATTTATACACTTAGACAGCGCTCTCTTTTTCTCTCTCTTTCTCTCTCTTTCTTTCTCTTTCATACACGCACACACACACCTACACACACAGAGAGAGAGATAGAGAGAGAGCAGGATTGTGGTGTGAGGGTGGTACTCTGACAGACAGTTTATTTAATTAAAGCTCTATTCATGTGTGGTCACTAAGCTCAGTTGTGACCAGCCTGTGAAATGAAACACTCTTTTATAGTTCCAATATAGCTGCCATTCATCTGCTGCCTGTATTAATGGGCTGGCTAATAACAGATCCTCGAAAGGTGCTTGTTGTGTACATATTCATTAACACAAGGAGCTCAGTGCTCAGATGGGCATGTTAACCAGTAGTCCTATCTTACTTCTGTCATAAACAGTTATCTTAGTGTCACAAACTGCCATAAATGTTTTAGTTATGAGATAGTTAATGCAGCTACTATAATGCATCCAGTAAAGACAAAGGCAGTCCAGTTCAGTTGTTGGAATGTGCAGTGTTAAATGACATAGTTGCTGTGCTCCGGAAATGCACAGATTTAGTATGCTAACTTAGATCCAGGGAAGGACAGAGACCGGAGTGAGAGGTGGGGAGGGAGGAATGGGAGTTGTTGGAGGGAGAGAGTATTGGGGAACTGGGTCATCTGAATTAGTATCCAATACAGCTTAATTTCTACTGCCAGGGAGCTCTGCTTCCATCCAGCAGCTATGGGAGGTATAATTACATAGTTCTGGCACTGGGCCTCTGTTGATTGGCTGGCTCGGTTTATATACTCTATTAGCTATGCTGGTTGATTTTAAACTCTCTGTTAGCTATGCCGGCTGGGTTTTGGCCCTATGATAGCTTGGTTAGATCCTACAGTGCCTTGCAAAAGTATTCAGCCCCCTTTTCGTTTTTCCTATTTTGTTGCATTACAACCTGTAATTTAAATTGATTTTTATTAGGATTTCATGTAATGGATATACACAAAATAGTCCAACTTGGTGAAGTGAAATGAAAAAAATAACTTGTTTCAAAAAATTCTACAAAATAAATAACGGAAAAGTGGTGCGTGCATATGTATTCACCCCCTTTGCTATGAAGCCCCTAAATAAGATCTGGTGCAACCAATTACCTTCAGAAGTCACATAATTAGTTAAATAAAGTCCACCTGTGTGCAATCTTAAGTGTCACATGATCTGTCACATGATCTCAGTGTATATATACACCTGTTCTGAAAGGCCCCAGAGTCTGCAACACCACTAAGCAAGGGGCACCACCAAGCAAGCGGCACCATGAAGACCAAGGAGCTCTCCAAACAGGTCAGGGACAAAGTTGTGGAGAAGTACAGATCAGGGTTGGGTTATAAAACAATATCCGAAACTTTGAACATCCCACGGAGCACCATTTAAATCCATTATTAAAAAATGAAAATAATATGGCACCACAACAAACCTGCCAAGAGAGGGCCTCCCACCAAAACTCACGGACCAGGCAAGGAGGGCATTAATCAGAGGCAACAAAGACACCAAAGATAACCCTGAAGGAGCTGCAAAGCTCCACAGCGGAGATTGGAGTATCTGTCCATAGGACCACTTTAAGCCGTACACTCCACAGAGCTGTGCTTTACGGAAAAGTGGCCAGAAAAAAGCCATTGCTTAAAGAAAAAAAATAAGCGAACACTTTTGGTGTTCACCAAAAGGCATGTGGGAGACTCCCCAAACATATGGAAGAAGGTACTCTGGTCAGATGAGACTAAAATTGAGCTTTTTGGCGATCAAGGAAAACGCTATGTCTGGCACAAACCCAACACCTCTCATCACCCCGAGAACACCATCCCCATAGTGAAGCATGGTGGTGTCAGCATAATGCTGTGGGGATGTTTTTCATCGGCAGGGACTGGGAAACTGGTCAGAATTGAAGGAATGATGGATGGCGCTAAATACAGGGAAATTCTTAAGGGAAATCTGTTTCAGTCTTCCAGAGATTTGAGATTGGGATGGAGGTTCACCTTCCAGCAGGACAATGACCCTAAGCATACTGCTAAAGCAACCCTTGAGTGGTTTAAGGTGAAACATTTAAATGTCTTCGAATGTCCTAGTCAAAGCCCAGACCTCAATCCAATTGAGAATCTGTTGTATGACTTAAAGATTGCTGTACACCAGCGGAACCCATCCAACTTGAAGGAGCTGGAGCAGTTTTACCTTGAAGAATGGGCAAAATTCCCAGTGTCTAGATGTGCCAAGCTTATAGAGACATACCCCAAGAGACTTGCAGCTGTAATTGCTGCTGGCTCTACAAGTATTGACTTTGGGGTGGGGTTAATAGTTATGCACGCTCAAGTTTTCTGTTTTTTTGTCTTATTTCTTTTTTGTTTCACTTTTTATTTATTTAGCATCTTCAAAGTGGTAGGCATGTTGTTTAAATTATATGATACAAACCCCCAAAAAATCCATTTTAATTCCAGGTTGTAAGGCAACAAAATAGGAAAAATGCCAAGGGGGGTGAATACTTTCGCAAGCCACTGTATGCTAGCTACATTGGCTGGTTTCAGTCCCGATGTCCTACATAGGCTTTAGGTCTAAAAAATAACAGGCCCAAAGTTATAACATCTATAGAAGAGACAGGAATGCCAATGGGGGAGGTGTTGCTATATATATTCAGTCATATTCCTGTAAATCTTCAAATCACATTTTATTGGTCACATACACATATTTAGCAGATGTTATTGTGGGTGTAGCGAACTGCTTGTGTTTCTAGCTCCAACAGTGCAGTAATATCTAACAATTCACAACAATACACACAATACACACATCTAAAAGTAAAATAATGGAATTAAGAAATATATAAATATTAGGACGAGCAATGTCGGAGTGGCATAGACTAAAATACAGTAGAATAGAAAATAATACAGTATATACATATGAGATGAGTAAAGCAAAAATATGTAAACATTAAAGTGACTAGTGTTCCATTATTAAAGTGGCCAGTGATTCCAAGTCTATGTATATAGGGCAGCAGCCTCTTAAGGTGCAGGGTTACGTAACCGGGTGGAAGCCGCCTAGTGATGGCTATTTTACAGTCTGATGGTCTTGAGATAGAAGCTGTTTTTCAGTCTCTCGGTCCCAGCTTTGATGCACTTGTACTGACCTCGCCTTCTGGATGATAGCGGGGTGAACAGGCAGTGGCTCAGGTGGTTGTTGTCCTTGATTAACTTTTTGTCCTTCCTGTGACATCGGGTGCTGTAGGTGTCCTGGAGGGCAGGTAAATTGCCCCCGGTGATGCGTTGGGTAGACCACACCACCCTCTGGAGATCCCTGCGGTTGCGGGTGGTGCAGTTGCCGTACCAGGCGGTGATACAGCCCGACAGGATGCTCTCAATTGTGCATCTGTGAACGTTTGTGAGGGTTTTAGGTGCCAAGCCAAATTTCTTCAGCCTCCTGAAAACTTGAGCGTGCATAACTATTCACCCCACCCCAAAGTAAATACTTGTAGAGACGCTTGTGCGCCTTCTTCGCTTTTGCGCCTTCCTCACACTGTCTGTGTGGGTGGACCATTTCAGATCGTCAGTGATGTGTACGCTGAGGAACTTGAGTCTTTCCACCTTCTCCGCTGCGGTCCCGTCGATGTGGATTGGGGCGTGCTCCTTCTGCTGTTTCCTGAAGACCACGATCAGCTCCTTTTATTTTGTTGACGTTGAGGGAGAGGTTATTTCCTGGCACCTCACTCTCAGGGCCCTCACCTCCTCTCTGTAGGCTGTCTCGTCATTGTTTGTAATCAGGCCTACTACTGTTGTGTCGTCTGAGAACTTGATGATTGAGTTGGAGGTGTGCGTGGCCACGCAGTCATGGGTGAAAAGGGAGTACAGGAGGGGGCTGAGCACGCACCCTTGTGGGGCCCCTGTGTTGAGGATCAGCGAAGTGGAGGTGTTGTTTCCTACCTTCACCACCTGGAGGCGGCCTGTCAGGAAGTCCAGGACCCAGTTGCACAGGGCGGGGTTCAGACCCAGGGCCCGAGCTTAATGATGAGCTTGGAGATCCTCTTAGAGAGGATCTCATGTCAAATGCTGTTGAAGTCATATGGCTACAGGTTCACCTGCCTATTATTGTGGGAAGTTACTATAGACCACCTAACAGTCCGTATCTGGATAATACGTGTGAAAATGTTTGATGGTGTATGTGATATTAACAGAGAGGTATACTTTCTGGGTGACCTAAATATTGACTGGTTTTCATCAAGCTGTCCAATCAACAACAACAACAAAAAAGCTCCAAACTGTAACCAGTGCCTGCAATCTGGTTCAGGTAATCAGTCAACCTACCAGGTTATATACAAACAGCACAGGAAATAAATTATCCACGTGTATTGATTACATCTTTATTAATGCTGCCGAAATCTGCTCTAAAGCAATATCCACACCCATCGGATATAGTGATCATAATATAGTAGCCATATCTAGAAAAAAGTACCAAAGGCTGGGCCTAAAATTGTGTATAAGAGATATACAAGAAGTACTGTAGTGATTCCCATGTTGAAGATGTAAAGAATATTTACTGGTCTGTTGTGTATAATGAGGAGCAACCAGATGCCGCACTTCACGCATTTATGACATTTCTTCTTCCAGTTACTAATAAGCATGCTTCCATTAAGAAACTGACTGTAAAAACTGCAAAATCCCCATGGGTTGATGAGGAATTTAAAAATTGTATGGTTGAGAGTGACGAGGCAAAAGGAATGGCAAATTAGTCTAGCTGCACAGCCAATTGGCAAATATATTGTAAATTGAGAAATCATGTGACTAAACTAGACAAAAAGAAGAGGTTAAGTGTTCAGAGATATAAAGGATTTTAGTAAAAAGCTTTCGAGCACCCGAAATAATAAAATGTTAGGCAAGAAGGCAAACTCAGCTCCATCCTTCATTGAATCAGATGGCTCATTCATCACAAAATCCTCTGATATTGCAAACTACTTTAATTACTTTTTCATTGGCAAGATTAGTAAACGTAGGCATGACATGCCAACAACAAACTGTGAACCTTCATATCCATGCAGAACTGACCAAATTATGAAAGACAAGCATTGTCATTTGGAATTCCATAAAGTGAGCGTGGAAGAGGTGAACAAATTATTGTCTATCAATAATAACAAACCACCTGGTACTGACACCCTGGATGAAAAATTACTGAGGATTGTACCAGACTATATTGACACTCCTATTTGCCATCTCTTCAATCTAAGTCAACAGGAAAGTGTGTCCCCTCAGGCCTGGAGGGAAGCAAAAGTCATACTCTTACCCAAGAATAGCAAAGCACCCTTTACTGGTTCAAACATCCGACCAATCAGCCTGCTAGCGACCCTCAGTAAACTTTTGGAGAAAACATTTGTTTGACCAGATACAATGCTATTTCACAGTAAAAAAAATTACAACTGACTTTCAGAACATTTATAGGGAAGGGCACTCAACATTTACGGCACGAACACAAGTGATTAATGATTGGCTGAAATAAATGTATTCATTTTGTTCGATTTCAGTGCAGCTTTTGACATTATCGATCATGGTCTGCTGCTGGAAAAACGTATGTGTTATGGCTTTACGCCCCCTGCTATATTGTGGATAAAGAGTTACCTGTCTAACAGAACAGAGGGTGTTCTTTATTGGAAGCCTCTCCAACATAATCCAGGTAGAATCAGGAATTCCCCAGGGCTGCTGTCTAGGCCCCTTACTTTTTTCAATCTTTACTAACGACATGCCACTGGCTTTGAGTAAAGCCAGTGTGTCTATGTATGCGGATGACTCAACACTATACACATCATCTACTACAGCGACTGAAATGACTGCAGTTAGTTTCAGAGTGGGTGGCAAGGAATAAGTTAGTCCTAAATATTTCTAAAACTAAAAGCATTTCATTTGGGACAAGTCTGTCCATAATAAAGCGCTGCTCTACCTTAACAGCACTATCAACAAGGCAGGTTCTACAGGCCCTAGTTTTGTCACACCTGGACTACTGTTCAGTCGTGTGGTCAGGTGCCACAAAGAGGGACTTAGGAAAATTGCAATTGGCTCAAACAGGGCAGCACGGCTGGCCCTTGGATGTACACAGAGAGCTAACATTAATAATATGCATGTCAATCTCTCCTGACTCAAAGTGGAGGAGAGATTGACTTCATCACTACTTGTATTTGTCAGAAGTATTGACATGTTGAATGCACCGAGCTGTCTGTTGACTAGCACACAGCTCAGACACCCATGCATACCCCACAAGACATGCCACCAGAGGTCTCTTCACAGTCCCCAAGTCCAGAACAGACTATGGGAGACGCACAGTTATACATAGAGCCATGACTACATGTAACTGATGCAAGCAGTAAAATTTGATTTAAAAAAACAGTTAAAAAATACACCGTATGGAACAGCGGAAACTGTGAAGCAACACAAACATAGGCACAGACGCATGTATACACACACGATAACATACGCACTATACACACACGATAACATGGATTTTGTGTTGTAGATATGTGGTAGTAGAGTAGGGGCCTGAGGTCACACACTTAATGTGTTTTGAAATCTGTTGTGAACGTATTGTAATGTTTTTTAAATGTATAACTGCCTTAATTTTGCTGGACCCCAGGAAGAGTAGCTTCTGCCTTGACAGCAGCTAATGAGGATCCATAATAAATACAAATACCTGTTTCGTTTTGGTTGTTGTCAGTGACTCTTTGTTAGTTCACCCTTCTGTTTGAGCGACATTTTTAGTTTTCTTGCTGGGGAACGAAACAACACACACATTCAGTGGCAGCGTAGTGATGCCTGGAGCAGCGGGTATACTTTAATTTTGTTAAATTTTTTCCAAATGGCCCGTCCGGCGAAGGAAAGGTGCCCTGTGTGAAAAATTATATGAGAAACAGTGACATACACGCTGACCTAAAATGATACATCCCATATTGGTTACCCTTTCAAGTCAAAATCATTTTTCCTGTTCCTTAATTGTTTGAAACCTGGATGTTTTACTTCATATTATGAGGCATGTCTTACCTTGCTTCAAAGTAGCCTATAGGCAAACTCCCACTATAGAAATGTGGAGGCAATTATTTTATAAAGACTTACTGTCACGCCCTGACTTATGGGACTCTAGTATGTTGAGTCAGGGTGTGGAGTTCTATGTTGTTATTTCTATGTTCTCGTTCTAGGTTGTGTGTTTCTATGTTTGGCTGGGTGTGATTCCCAATCAGAGGCAGCTGTCGCTCGTTGTCTCTGATTGGGGATCATAATGTAGCCTGTTTGCATCATTAGTTGTGGGATCTTGTTCCGTGTATAGGCTTGTATTGTGTTTAGCCTGAGGACTTCACGTTACGTTGTTTTGTTGTTTGTGTGTTTATTTTGATTAAATAAACATGTATGCATTTCACGCTGTGCCTTGGTCTGACCCGTCCTTCAACGACCGTGACAGAAGATCCCACCAAACACGGACCAAGCAGCATGCCCAAGAGCAAACACCCTGGACACAGGCGGGGAAGATTTGGTCTTGGGAGGAGATATTTGCGGGGAAAAGACCATGGGCGAAGGTAGATGCCCAGGCAGGAGAGGAGCAACGGCAACACAGAGGGCGCCGGCCAAGGAGGAAGCCCGAGAGGCAGCCCCAATAAACATTTTTTGGGGGGCTAAAGGAGTGGTCGGGGAGCAAGAGAGAAGAGCCCCGACCACTGCACCCGGTGGGTTTCCAGTTTGAGTCCCTACGACCATGGGAAGAAGAGTGAGAACAGTTTTATACTGAGGAGTCGGAGGATGACGACGACGATGAGTTTCTGTTCTCTAACTCGTGGGGGCTCCCGGAGGAGTCCTCACTGGAGGAGGAGTGCCGAGAGAGAGAGAAGAAATCGGATCTGCAGGGTAAGAGAGGAGGCCACCACATTACGGGGGCTGATAGTAAGAATAGAGCGGGAGAGCTCCATTCAAGAGGAGGCACTGCAGGAGGCTTGTAGGGAGAAGGAGGAAGTAGATGCACGGAGAGAGGAGCTGGTTAGGCAACATAAGGAGCGTGGGTTAATAGAGGAACCCATGTATGCAGAGATACGCACTGTATCGCCAGTGCGCATGCACAGCCCTGTGCGTTCTGTGCCAGCGCCCCGCACGTGTCGTGCGAAAGTGGGCAGCCAGCCAGGACGGGTTGTGCCGGCTCAACGCTCCTGGTCTCCAGTGCACCTCCAAGGTCCAGTATATCCTGCTCCGGTTCTACGCACTGTGTCACCAGTGCACCTTACCAGTCCTGTGCGGCCCGTACCTGCTCCTCGCACCAAGCCAGTGGCGTGTGTCCCCAGTCCGGTCCGGCCCGTTCCTGCTCCTCGCACCAGACCAGTGGTGCGTGTTCCCAGTCCGGCCCGGCCCATTCCTGCTCCTCGCACCAAGCCTGTGGTGTGTGTCCCCAGTCCGGCCCGGCCTGTTCCTGCTCCTCGCACCAGACTAGTGGTGCGTGTTCCCAGTCCGGCACGGCCTGTGCCTGCTCCCCGCACCAAGCCAGTGGTGTGTGTCGCCAGTCCGGCCCGGCCCGTTCCTGTTCCTCGCACCAAGCCAGTGGTGCGTGTTCCCAGTCCGGTACGGCCCGTTCCTGCTCCTCGCACCAAGCCAGTGGTGCGTGTTCCTAGTCCGGCCCGGCCCGTTCCTGCTCCTTGCACCAAACCAGTGGTGCGTGTTCCCAGTCCAGTCCGGACGTTCCTGTTCCTCGCACCAAGCCAGTGGTGCGTGTTCCCAGTCCGGCACGGCCCGTGCCTGCTCCCCGCACCAAGCCAGTGGTGTGTGTCGCCAGTCCGGCCCGGCCCGTTCCTGTTCCTCGCACCAAGCCAGTGGTGCGTGTTCCCAGTCCGGTACGGCCCGTTCCTGCTCCTCGCACCAAGCCAGTGGTGCGTGTTCCTAGTCCGGCCCGGCCCGTTCCTGCTCCTTGCACCAAACCAGTGGTGCGTGTTCCCAGTCCGGTCCGGACGTTCCTGTTCCTCGCACCAAGCCAGTGGTGCGTGTTCCCAGTCCGGTACGGCCCGTCCCTGCTCCCCGCACCAAGCCAGTGGTGCGTGTCGCCAGTCCGGCCCAGCCCGGCCCGTTCCTGCTCCTCGCACCAAGCCAGTGGTGCGTGTGTCCAGTCCGGCACGGCCCATGCCCGTTCCACCGGTGCCTGCTCCACTCCGGAGCCAGAGCAGTCCGCTCCAACGGTGCCTGATCCAGCTCCGGTCAGCGGCTCCGCTCCACCGGTGCCCAGTCCAGCTCCGGTCAGCGGCTCCAGTCCAGACTCAGACGTCAGCTCCTCTCCAGGTTCGGGGTCTCCCACACCAGGGTCCAGACAGGGCTTGGTACATTGTGGGAGGAAGGAGAGGGGAAGCAGCGCGCCAAGGTCCAGACCAGACCAGGGGCGCAACGGGGAGGCTGAGAGAATGTGGTCGTCACGCCCGGAGCCGGATCCGCCTCCGAGGCGGAATGCCCACCCGGACCCTACCCTGTTATGTCAGGTTTGTGCGGTCGGAGTCCGCACCTTTGGGGGGGGGGGGGGGGGGTACTGTCACGCCCTGACTTATGGGACTCTAGTATGTTGAGTCAGGGTGTGGAGTTCTATGTTGTTATTTCTATGTTCTCGTTCTAGGTTGTGTGTTTCTATGTTTGGCCGGGTGTGATTCCCAATCAGAGGCAGCTGTCGCTCGTTGTCTCTGATTGGGGATCATACTTAATGTAGCCTGTTTGCATCATTAGTTGTGGGATCTTGTTCCGTGTATAGGCTTGTATTGTGTTTAGCCTGAGGACTTCGCGTTACGTTGTTTTGTTCGTGTGTTTATTTTGATTAAATAAACATGTAAGCATTTCACGCTGCGCCTTGGTCTGACCCGTCCTTCAACGACCGTGACACATACTCATATGCGTCAACATTTTAAGCTAAATATTCCGATCTGTTCCATCAGCCCTATTAATTGACATGGCATATACCTCCACTACACTACTTTGATACGTATCAGTGGGGATTAAGAAGTGAGTACACACAATGCCCACTGAAAAATAAGTGGGTATACCTGCATATACCCTCCAATACACCACTGCACACATTGTAATGTTGTAGTATTGTGGATTTTATATTGTACATTTGTAATAATAATAATGTCTTGGAGGATGTATTGTTGATGGAAATTTGAATGTACAGAGATATCGTGACGAGATCCTGAGGCCCATTGTAGTTTTAACCCTGTTTGGACCCCAGGAAGAGTTGCAGCAGCTAATGGGGATCCTAATAAATACTACACTGAACAAAAATATAAACGCAACATGTAAAATGTTGGTTCCATGTTTCATGAGCTGAAATAAAAGATCCCCAGAAATTTTCCATATGCACAAAAAGCTTATTTATCTCAAATTTTGGCCACAAATCCCTGTTATGGGCAGGCATAAGCTATGGACAACGAACAGAATTGCATTTTATTGATGGAAATTTGAATGTACAGAGATATCGTGACGAGATCCTGAGGCCCATTGCAGTGCCATTCATCCGCCACCATCACCTCATGTTTCAGCATGATGACGCACGGACCCATGTCGCAAGGATCTGTACACAATTCCTGGAAGCTGAAAATGCATTCGGTGTCAGTGTGGAGAACAGGAAGGAAACACACACACACACGACACCCCATCCACACTTAGCAGGCTATCGCTAACTCTAGCTGCAGAGCTTTAAGAGGAAGTTGACATTACAGAGAGATATGCTCTATGCATTGGCTAAGACAACATATGCATGTGAAAATGCTTAGGCATTTGTTTTTGGATACCTTATATTGGGGGGTGAGGGGGTTGAGGTCGTGGGGATAGTAAACACTGGATGGGGCAGCTGTCAAATGGGACTGTCGACACCTGATTGGGCAACTTGTAAGTACTAAACTGGAACATGCAATTAAAAAGTGTCCTGTTATTGAATTGGGACTGGAAAATTGTAGGCCTACTGCACTTAATCAGAGTTTGCACTTATTAGGAGTGGACTATATTATTCTGGTGCTCCCTTGTCTGAGCTGAGGCTTATATCATTAAACTGGCCTTAGGTTAGCTGTCTGTGTGCCGCCAGAGTCATGGCAACCTGTCTAGGTTAGGGTTGGAGTTAGTATGGTGTGCTGCCTGCTCTGAGTAGGAGTTGCAGATCTAGGATCAGTTTAACGTTACTCTTACTAAATTTTAAACTTGACAATTAGGGTGCAAAACTGACCTTAGATCAGTGGCTATGGGACACTTCATCCTACTTCTTTGGGCGCTCAGGTTTCATTCCTCGAATCCCATTATGTTTCTCACTGCTCTCCCTGCATTCAATAGGCACTGTGATAAGGAGACGAGACTGTGTGTGTCCCAGCCCCTCTGACAAACCGTCCAACTATTTACGACCTCAGCTGATTCCTGTCTTACTTCATTAGCTCTAGAAATGAGACCACACTCTAAAATTATCCCCCTGTGCACTCTATAACCCCCCAACCACCAACCCTATACACAAACCACACACTGGGAAAGACTGGGAAACTTGTTTTAGTGTCAGAGAGGGAGTGATCCATTGTAGCTGATGATGTCATTCTGTTCTGCTCAGGGTGCCTCAGTGCCAAATCCAGCTGAACATGTGTTCTAGACTGCTGAACTGGAACAGATACTAGTGTTCTACGTCCATAGTTCCCGAAACACATGTTATCACCTATCCTTAATCACTGAATTAACAACATATTACTATGTTGTTTTTCATGTCATCATCGGGTGTGAATAGAACAAATATGTGCAATGCCTTGATTTCCCAGAGGAACGGATTGAAGAACACTGTTGTAATGAACCAGTCATATAGTAAACATAGTGAACATGTTTGTGTTATATGATACAGTAGTAAACCCTCTCATATCCCCCCTCCCCCAGGCGCTGTGTGGCTGTACGGTGAACATTCCCACCCTGGATATCCGCGTCATCCCACTAACCTGCCATGACGTCATAAAGCCGGGGACGGTAAAGCGGCTGAGGGGGGAGGGCCTGCCCCTCCCTAAGAGCCCCACCCAGCGCGGCGACCTCATAGTAGAGTTCACGGTTCGCTTCCCAGACAGGATCCCTCCCCAGTCCAGAGAGATCATCAGAAAACACCTGCCCCAGTCTTAGGACAACACCCCACCTACTCCCCCACGGACTCATTACCCCCCTCTCCACCCCAATACCTACCCCCCACCATAAACACAAACACACATCGTTTTTACCAGTTGAACCCATCCCCTCCTCCCCCATTTCAAGAACTCACTGTTTCTACCACACAACGTTACACGGAACGGCTCAGCGCGGCTTTGGCTTTTACCAGAACTTATTTTCTTAATGCTCTTTTTTCTACAGATTTATCAAGGGTTTTATACGTTGTCGTCGCCCCTCCCCCCTCCCCTCCCCTCCCCCAGAGGACAGTTGAAAGTGGATTATTTTATTGTTTATCTACACCCAACCAGCAGCTTCAGTCTGTGCTCCCCTGTTTTAACCCAATAAACTGTTTCTAATGTTTAATGACGCATCATGTGTGAACTGTGTAGGTTATCTGCTGGACAAGGCCACTGCTACTACAGCAGCCACTACCCCCACCTCCTCTCAGTGCCTAACCATTAACATAGATGTATAGTTTGGCAAGCATGTCTTGAGATTTGGATTTGCTTGTTATAATCAGCACTCAGTGCAAATGAGCATGTAATTGTTGTGGAAGGTTTGGTTTTAACATGGGGGACAGTTTGTTGTATTTCTATGTCTGATCCAGACCACCTGAATGGCGGAGACCCCCAGCAGCCCAGCTGTGTGTAGTCCACTATGGGTCATCATCATACACAAAAAATGTATGCACGCATGACTGTAAGTCGCTTTGGATAAAAGCGTCTGCTAAATGGCATATTATATTATATATTTATATATTGGTACCTCAGGAGGTTCATCCAGGCCTGTCATCTATAGGTGCTTTGCTCCCTGTGGTGTCTGTGTCCCAGAGGGAATGACTGTGAGTCATTAATAACTGCCTTTAAGCTCTCCACGACTCACTAACTGAGGGACTGGTAAGTGCCTTAACCTGAAGACACACACACACACACACACGACTCCCCCATACCTACAGAAGCCCTATGTACCTATCTGAAGTACCAGGGATGCACCCGGATTCATACTGAATGTGAATAAATATTGTAATGGCTGATACAGTGTCCACAGGATGAACACAGAGAATATAAAGACACATTTCTATGAACCTTTATAATAGGTTTTGTAAAACACTTTCAATGTAAACCTGCCCAGAGAGTCATGACTGTTCTGCTGTGGGTAGTGTACTGGGAGTGACACTGTATGCAGTGCTTAAAGTAATGGAGTGAAATAGATGCTGGTACTCATTTTGGGTGCCGGTACTGTTAATATTTAGGAGCAGGAACGCCGCAATATTTTAAAGCCGATATTCTATAAGAGGTGCTGCTACTCAAGCAGTAACAAATGTTAGGGACTGGTACTCAGTACCAGTGTGTTCCAGCCCAAGTCAAGCACTGACTGTTTGGGTGCTGCAGTGATCCATCTGTACTGTTTGGGTGCTGCAGTGATCCATCTGTACTGTTTGGGTGCTGCAGTGATCCATCTGTACTGTTTGGGTGCTGCAGTGATCCATTTGTACTGTTTGGTGCGCATGATCCTCTGTACTGTTTGGGTGCTGCAGTGATCCATCTGTACTGTTTGGGTGCTGCAGTGATCCATCTGTACTGTTTGGGTGCTGCAGTGATCCATCTGTACTGTTTGGGTGCTGCAGTGATCCATCTGTACTGTTTGGGTGCTGCAGTGATCCATCTGTACTGCGCTGAGGGACCTATCAGTCTGGCACTGGTAACATCATACATCTATTCAGGACTATCAAATGGAGACCCTTTTCTTGGTCCACTTTTTGCCACCTGTAATATGTTTTTTTATTGAAAGAATGTCTACAGTATAGTGGACATTGAAGGAATCTGTAAGGACAAGTTGATACTGTAGTTGTTGTTCCCTGCCTATAGGTAGTGCCAAAAGTGTGTTCCTGTTCACACAGCCAAGAGATACACAACAGACACAGATAGAGAGTGGCAAAACTCTAAGGAATTCAATCTGGATCTAATAATGATGCCTGTCAATCAGAACAGCCGCAGGGTCTCTGGGCTATGTGATGGGGGTGGGGCTAAAGCAGGAAGTGAGCATTGACATGGTGCTGTGTGAGAATGTGTTTTTACCTGTGACTGAGTGATTCTCACGGTTTCACAGCTTCTGTACTTTTGACAAAGTTTCTCATGTAAATAGAATTTTACAATGACAATCAATAAACCCAGTACTGAGCTGTGTATGGTCCTGTGTGTTTATGTGAGGAGTTATTTGTAGCCTACCCCCACTCTACTGCTTTCACCTATCCATCTCTCCCAGCTCTGTGGTTACTTCAAGGACTGAAGGAAGGGATGATATTATAATGCTTTCTTTATTTGTCCAATGAGCTCACATATTAGATATCCATACATCGGAACACAAGATCAGTTGGAGTGGAACAAAATCAAGGATTAGTAGCAAATACATTTTCATGCTAATATTGAATTCTGGATAATTTAGAATGGTGTATGTACTTCAACTCTTACTAAGGGAACATGAACTGCAGTACAGATGATTCTTCTGTAATCAAATATTCAAATCTCTAGTGACTAGGCCTAGTAACTCCAGTCAGGAGTTGTGTAGAAATTAAACAAGTAGATCTGTGTCTAGATGTGGGGTCAGTTGATCTGTGTCTAGATGTGGGGTCAGTTGATCTGTCTCTAGATGTGGGGTCAGTACGGATCGTTGAAGGGGAAATGGGGGTGCTCTGCGTCCCTCCAAACTCTCTTTCCGTCCCTCTGTGAAGAGAACACACAGTTCCATTCGGTACCACCGGAAAACCCCATGTCTCAACTGAAACTCGGCTAAATTTGGCTGCATCTCAGTAGTCTCATATGGCATCCTCATCTGCTCTCCTTCACCTGTCTAGTTGTGACCAGGGGAGGAGGCTGTATAAGACTATTGACATGCACCCTGAGGTCTCATCTGAGACAATCAGAACTCACCTCCACAGCTGGGACGATGTACCTCTCGTTTCTGTTGAATGACTCGATCTGCTTCATGTCTTCATCCGACAGAGAGAAGTCAAACACCTGTCAATCAGACACAAACAAATGCCCACTCCAGAAAACAATCACAGCAGCTACACAGAATTGTAGCCTGTAGTTTCCTAGACTCAGACGGCCCTGCCTCTTGCGAAAAGTCGCATTTTGGGGAAGAGGTTAGTAGTTTCCAAACTGGTCAAATATAATGCAGGTCAATGGGTATTCCTTCCACTAGATGGCACTGTCCTCACCTGTAGGTTCTGCTGGATCCTGGAGGGGGTGACACTTTTGGGGATGCAGACTACCCCTCTCTGTACCTGCCACCTGGAGACAGAGACAGACACACACACCTGAGAATTGCTCATTACACTGCAGCTAGTTACACTGAGGTGTTTGTGTGTTACAGTGTGCTGCGTTACCTGAGTATGACCTGAGCAGGGGTCATGCTGTGGCGGAGGGCGATAGCCCCCAGTCCAGGGTCCTGCAGCAGGCAGGGTTCATCAGGCGAGGCCCAGGGCCGGTCACCACTACCCAAAGGGCTGTAGGCCATCACACACACACCTACCGACCTGGAATATACACAAACTATTACACACACACACACCTACCTACCACCCTGGAATGCACACACACACACACACCATTACACACTCTCTACCTCACACACACACACCTACCTGCAGTGACTCAGCAGCTCGGCCTGGGACAGGTATGGGTGACACTCCACCTACAAAGACACAAAGTTATACCAACACACACAAAGTCAGACACAATTACACAGATATACTGTACACACACAGTCCCATACTTGGTTGACTACAGGCTTGTGTTTGGCGATGCTGATGACATCGTCTGTCTGTCTGGCGTTGAAGTTGGACAGACCGATGGCTCGGACCAGCCCCTTATCAACCAGGCTCTCCATGGCAACCCAGGTTTCCCGGTAGTGTATGTCATCGTAACACACACTCCCATCGGCCCGCTTGGGCATCAGCTCTGTCCCACGCCTGGAGAACACACAGGCAGCTCAGAGGACCATAACATGTCTGGGACGGATTTCTAGTACAGGTGTGTTTGTTGAGGTGTGCACAGTCGTATTGAGGTGTGAGTAGGGGTGTGTTGCTCACTGGAAGGCCATGGGCCAGTGCATGAGGTAGAGGTCCAGGTAGTCCAGTCCCAGGTGTATTAGACTCTTCCTACAGGCTGTCTCTACATCGTCAGGGTGATGCTGGGTGTTCCACAGCTTAGAGGTCAGAAACACATCCTCACGATGCAGGGCCTGGGGGGAAAAACAGGAGATCAACACACACATACATGCACAGCTTTCCAGAAGAGTTTTCCTAATGCTCTTTGATCAAAAAGGGTGTTTGTGGCTCACCTTTCCTGGTCCCAGCATCAGAGCCAGTGCCTCTCCGACCTCCTGCTCATTACTGTATGCAGCAGCACAATCAATGTGTCTGTAGCCACAGTCTAGAGCTGTCAGCACCGCTTGCTTCACCTACAGTGAGACACAGATAGTCAACACACACACACATTAAGGTTTAGGTTATCTGTGTGGATGTCAGTGTTTTGAATGAGAATGAATAGCATTCTGACCTGTCCGGGGGCGCTCTTCCAGGTGCCCAGCCCCACCAAGGGAATCTTATGCCCTGACGACAGGGTCACGCAAGAACTCATGGTTCAGTCCAGAGGTTCTGACAGGCACACAGAAACACACACACATCATGAATGGATTCATGCAATTTTATATGAGGTAGCAACATGGTGTCCAGCTCTAGAGGAGGCCAAAATATATCTATAGAACTCTGAGTATGACCCAGTTGACCGGGTGTCAGTTGCAAGTCACCAAGACTAAGTCCTAATGCTGTGTTACTGATTATCACTCATGTTTGAATTCATTAACTCAGCACAGGGGTCTCAGATGTGTGACACGTGCGTATATAATTTGAGAGAGATATGATACCCAAAATATACATAGAACAGTAAAAACAGGCAAATCCTCCCTTTTCTCTGTCTTTCTCTTTCAAACATTTTGAACTCTCTCTGAACCTTTCATAATGTAACTCTAGAAGAACCTAGTTTCTATACCTATATAGCTGATCCAACTATATGACGTTAGTCACCGGCTGGCTTTATGGGAGCACATTACTGATTAACATCATAGCATTATAATCTTCTACTATGTCACGTCATATAGAATTGTATTAAAGTATAGTACAATGCCTAAAATAGGTTGAGTGGTCGGTCTGAGGTCATGCTGATCAAATCAGAACATCCACATCCCCCCATCTGCTACTTCTTTCAGCTTCAGCTATACAGTTTAAGTGTATTTGTATTTGTATGTATCATGGATCCCCATTAGCTGCTGCCAAGGCAGCAGCTACTCTTCCTGGGGTCCAGCAAAATTAAGGCAGTTATACATATTAAAAACATTACAATACATTCATAACAGATTTCACAACAAATTAAGTGTGTCCTCAGGCCTCTACTCTACTACCACATATCTACACAAAATCCATGTGTACATGTGTGTATAGTGCGTATCTTATCGTGTGTTTGTTTGCATGTGTCTATGTTTGTGTTGCTTCACAGTCCCCGCTGTTCCATAAGGTGTATTTTTATCTGTTTTTTAAATCTAATTTTACTGCTGGCATGAGTTACTGTGTGCCTCCCATAGCCTGGTCTTGACTTGGGGACTGTGAAGAGACCTCTGGTGGCATGTCTTGTGGGGTATGCATGGGTGTCTGAGCTGTGTGCCAGTAGTTCAAACAGACAGCTCGGTTCATTCAACATGTCAATACCACTGACAAATACAAGTAGTGATGAAGTCAATCTCTCCTCCACTTTGAGCCAGGAGAGATTAACATGAATATTATTAATGTTAGCTCACTGTGTACATCCAAGGGCCAGCTGTGCTGCCCTGTTCTGAGCCAATTGCAATTTTCCTAAGTCCTTCTTTGTGGCACATGACCACACGACTGAACAGTAGTCCAGGTGTTACAAAACTAGGGCCTGTAGGACCAGCCTTGTTGATAGTGCTGTTAATGCAGAGCAGCGATTTATTATAGACAGACTTCTCCCCATCCCAGCTACTGTTGTATCAATATGTTTTGACCATGACAGTTTACAATCAAGGGTCACGCCAAGCAATTTAGTCTCCTCAACTTGCTCAATTTCCACATTATTCATTACAAGATTTAGTTGAGGTTTAGGGTTTAGTAAATTATGTCACAAATACAATGCTTTAAGTTTTTGAAATATTTAGGACTAACTTGTTCCTTGCCACCCATTCTGAAACTAACTGCAGCTCTTTGTTAAGTGTTGCTGTCATTTCAGTCGCTGTGGTAGCTGACATGTATAGTGTTGAGTCATCCGCATACATAGACACACTGGCTTTACTCAAAACCAGTGGCATGTCGTTAGTAAAGATTGAAAAAAGTAAGGGGCCTTGACAGCTGCCCTGGGGAATTCCTGATTCTACCTGGATTTTGTTGGAGGCTTCCATTAAAGAACACCCTCTGTGTTCTGTTAGACAGGTAACTCTTTATCCACAATATAGCAAGGGGTGTAAAGCCATAACACATACGTTTTTTTCCAGCAACAGACTATGATCAATAATGTCAAAAGCTGCACTGAAGTCTAACAAAACAGCCCCCACAATCTTTTTATCATCAATTTCTCTCAGCCAATCATTAGTCATTTGTGTAAGTGCTGTGCTTGTTGAATGTCCTTCCCTATAAGCGTGCTGAAAGTCTGTTATCAATTTGTTTACTGTGAAATAGCATTGTATCTGGTCAAACACCATTTTTTCCAAAAGTTTACTAAGGGTTGGTAACAAGCTGATAGGTCAGCTATTCTTATGTAGGGAAATAACTTTTGCTTCCCTCCAGGCCTGAGTGCACACACTTTCTAGTAGGCTTAAATTGAAGATGTCAAATAGGAGTGGCAATATCGTCCGCTATTATCCTCAGTCATTTTCCATCCAAGTTGTCAGACCCCGGTGGCTTGTCATCGTTGGAATTCAAAATTACAATGCTCGTCTTTCATAATTTGGTCAGGTATACTTCGATGTGTAGTGTCAGCGTTTGTTGCTGGCATGTCATGCCTAAGTTTACTAATCTTGTCAATTAAAAAATATTTAAAGTAGTTGGCAATATCAGTGGGTTTTGTGATGAATGAGCCATCTTATTCAATGAATGATGGAGCAGAGTTTGCCTTTTCGCCCAAAATGTCATTTAAGGTGCTCCAAAGCGTTTTACTATCATTCTTTATGTAATTTATCTTTGTTTCATAGTGTAGTTTCTTCTTCTTTTTATTCAGTTTAGTTCACATGATTTCTCAATTTGTAATACGTTAGCCAATCGGTTGTACAGCCAGACCTATTTGCCATCTCTTTTGCCTCATCCCTCTCAACCATAGCATTTTTCAGTTCCTCATCAAACCATGGGGATTTAACCGTTTTTACAGACATTTTCTTAATGGGTGCATACTTATTAGTAACAGGGATAAGAAATGTAATAAACATGTCAAGTGCAGTGTCTGGTTGCTCGTCATTACATACCACAGACCAACAAATATTATTCACATCAACAACATAGGGATCACTACAGAACTTCTTGTATGACGTCTTATACACAATATTAGGCCCAGCCTTTGGAACTTTGGTTTTCCTAGATATGGCTACTATATTGTGATCACTACATTTGATGGATTTGGATACTGCTTTCAAACAAATTTCTGCAGCATTAGTAAAGATATGAATCAATACATGTTGATGATTTCATTCCTGTACTGTTTGTAACTACCCTGGTAGGTTGATTGATAACCTGAACCAGGTTGCAGGCACTAATTTCAGTTTTAAGCTTTCTCTTGAGTGGGCAGCCTGATGAAAGCCAGTCAATATTTAAATCCCCAGAAAGTATACCTCTCTATTGATATCACATATATTATCAAGCATTTCACACGTTATATAGATTCTGACTGTTAGCACTTGGTGGTCTATAGCAGCTTCCCACCAGAATGGGCTTTAGGTGAGGAAGGTGAACCTGTAGCCATATTACTTCAACAGTATTTAACATGAGATCCTCTCTGATCCAGATATCCTCTCTAAGCTTTACAGGAATGTGGTTCTGAATATAGACCGCAACACCGCCCCCATTGGCATTTCTGTCTTTTCTGTAAATGTTATAACCTTGTATTGCTACCACTGTATCATCAAAGGTATTATCTAAGTGAGTTTCAGAGATTGTCAGAATATGAATGTCATCTCTCACTAGCAAATTATTTATTTCATGAACCTTGTTTCTTAAGCTACATATGTTAACGTAGGCTATTTTTAACACTTTTCTGGGATGCTTGATAATTTTTCTTGCTTTACTGGGAAGCTTAGCAGAGGTAGACATACTCAGGTTATTTTATTAGTGCAGGGTGAGCTGCACACAGTGGACTTCCTGCTAGGGCACACCACCTCAGTGCTAACAGTATTACTCTGGTTCATAGGCATATGATTACTGCATACAATAGCTGTTGGATCAGCAGAGGCATTCCGGGCAGTAAGAGGGACATAAATTAGGTTATTTACATTGTGTCTTCCAACGCACCTAGGATAATGTACATATGCTGAATCATTATGACAACTCAGCGACACAATGGTAGGGATTAAATGAGCTGGACTTGGGTGATTGATAAGTCATTGTCTCAACGCAGCCTTATAATGCTGTGAAAAGACACAGGAACCCAAATGATTTGGGTGGATCCCATCCTCCTTATAATACGAGCTTTGTTTCCAGAAGGTATCAAAATTGTCAATAAATGTTACACCCACAGAGCAGCAATAGTCTCGTAGCCAGTTATGGAGGGCAAAAAGTCTGCTGAACCGTTCAATGCCCCAATTTATGGAGGGCAGAGGGCCAAATATTATGGGGCGTTTGTTGGTGTCAAGTAGAGACCCAATCAGTTCTTTAAAATCCATCTTCAGCTGTTCTGAGCTGCCCTTCATAATGTAATTTGACCCCACATGAACCATGACAGTATCAGCCCCCGGTGACTGACTCACAGCCTCGGGAAGCAACCTGGTGATATCCTGAACTTTTGCCCCAGGAAAACACAAAGTCTTTGCCCCAGGTATTTTTTTTAACATTTTAGTCATTTAGCAGATGCTCTTATCCAGAGCGACTTACAGTTAAGTGAGTGCATTCATTCTTTTTTTCATACAGATATATGCCTCACCATCGAACTCCCTATCACAATCACCGGAATGTAGTTTGTTCCATTAGATTAGTACTGTCTGTAACCCTATCCACTATTGTCTGAACCACATTGTGAGCAAATAGTGATGAAAGATAGAAATGAGAAGAGAATACACAATAGTGCATCTTAGAGTCACACTAACACCCTGGCTCATTTCAACCTGTGGAAAGAGTGAAGGTGCTCTGTAATGTGAGAAGTTATGTCCTTGTATAACATGGATAAGTGAGGAGTGATAGTTCTTACCTATCAGATGTCTGTAAATGTCAGTCAGTGTGTGATGCTCAGGAGTCAGGCTGGTTTTAAAACAGACAGAGGTCAAAGTCTGGATGGATCGGTTTATCTTTAACCCAAACGGTTGGGAAACTTCTAAAACTGACTATACTCATCTACAGAGGACCAACAGGCAATGAACAGCCCACATGTAAATAACCCATTTTCACTCTCAGAATAACACACTCATGGTCTCATAGTTGAATTAATTAGAATATTGACAGTCAACATCAATATCATGTGTCAAATCAAGATAGGGCCAACCTTAAAGGCCCAGTGCAGTAAAAAAAACGTGATTTTCCTGTGTTTGATATATATTTCCACACTGAGGTTGGAATAATAATAAGGCTCTTTTAGTGTAAGAGCTGTTTGAAAAGACCGCCTGAAATCTCAGCCTGCTTTTGTGGGAGGGAGTTTTGGGCTTCCATGGTGACATCACCATGCGGTAAATGAGTTATGCCGCGTTCATGTGCTAGTAGGAACTCTGAAATTTCCGACTTGCAAATTGGTTGTAGTTATAATACACCTCGCGTTCAAACTGTTAGCAAGTCGGACATTTTCAAGTTTTGACTAGCGCATGAACGCGGCTATAATAGACCCATAAGAAAGAGTTCCAAACCTCTGCCAATAACAGCTAATTTTCAGTTTTCCCTCCCCACTCAAACAACTCCCAGACAGTCTGTTTTTATATGCAACCTGGGATGGGTTTGGTCAGGTAAGTGTGACACAGTGTGGTCAGATAAGGGATTGCAGACATTGAGACAATAGTCACCATTTTGGATACAAATACTCATGACAGCGCACACATTCATGGCAGTTAAGGCATGCAACTCCTTTCCATTGTAATTTACTGGTATTTAATGCTACACGAGGCCATTGAAGGCCGGGATGATTAGGAGGCATGGTGACCAGGTTGGGAATGACACTAGAGTTTACACTTCTACTCAACTCAAGTGCCATGGGACATTTAGTGACCACTAGAAAACTGAGGTAGTTCAGTGAACAAGCTTGTCTTAGGTCTACAGGCCTGTAGACCTGAGGGCTCACGTTAGCTCCCAGAGCAAATACATAGGCTTTTTAGCTCAGTGGGCTAACACGGTCCTAAAGCATGCAGATGGCCTGGGTTTGATACCTGGTCCCACACAGTAAGTCGAACCTCTGACATCTCATCTAAAAGGAATGAGAAACTGGTTAGAGAACTTCGTTATGGTGAACCTAGTGTGGAACTGACATCAATAACATCAAACTACATTGTCATTTTGTGAGATTTTATTTTCAAACTTGTCGTCATACATTATATGTTACTATTCATTAAAAAAAAATGTGTTCTTATAGTCTAGCATAGAATCCTACCACTAAAGCTGGTAATATAGGGTTGTGATAAACTCAGGGGCCACTCAACCCCCCCCACAGTCAACCAATCACCTTTAACCTCTATCCACTGCCCAGCTTTCCCCTCCAGATCTAACGTAAAAGAAACGCCTGAGCGGGGTCGTTAGAAACCGCAAGCATCCGTTTTTCAGGCTTCTCCTGAAAACCGGATCCTTCTGGTTTAAGGATGGATCAAACCAGGCAGCTACATGCTTTCTCCACCACAGAGGAATCATACAAAAAGAAACGCATGAAAGAAAGCAGAGCCCTAAAAAATTGTCAATCAGGTTTGATAGTTTGTACAGGTGTGATCACATAAGAGCTGGCCACCATGTGGCACCATCCGTTAGTCTGTCCGTCCATCTATCCATACAGGTCGTCATCGTTTTCCTCGTTAAACACTGGCCCCCCGCCAGTTCCCCCAGTACCCTGGCTGGGACCGCTGCCCCCTGCAGCACTGGAGGGGAACCTGTGAGAGAGCAAGAGAGAGATAATAGTCACCATTATAAACCAGGTAGTTAGGGTCCTGGATGCTGATTGGCTGAAACAGCATTAAAGCTGTGTGTATATCAGACAATATACCACGAGTATGATGCAAAAATACTTGTTTTTTTTAATGTTGGTAACCAGTTTATAATAACAATTCCCCTCTGGGGTTTGTGGTATATGGCCAATATACCACAGCTAAGGGCTGTATCCAGGAACTCCGCTTCGCATCATGCCTTAGAACAGCTGTGGTATATTTAAGCAATATGGCCCGAAGGGTTGTGGTATATGGCCAATATACCATGACTAAGGGCTGTTCTTATGCACGACGCAACGTGGAGTGTCTGGACACAGCCCTTAGCCGTGGTATATTGGCTATATATCACAAGCCCCCGAGGTGCCTTATTGCTATTATAAAACTGGTTACCAACGTAATTAGAGCAGTTAAAATAAATATTTTGTTGTACCCGTTGTATAGAGTCTGATATACCACGACTGTCAGCCAATCAGCATTCAGGGCTCGAACCACCTAGTTTATAATTACCAATATACCACAACCCCTCGAGCGTTATTGATTAATTATAGCACATTAAACACTGTCACACACACCCCTGAGGTCACACACAAACGTACCTGAAGCTGCCAAAGCCTCGGCTCTGCTGCAGTGTCTGGGCAAACATCTCGTATTTGCGGATGTCATTGTCGCTGACGGAGCGGCGGGCGAATCGCATGGCCTCCTCAAAGTGGTCCTTCCTGATCTCTGGCACAGGGTCATCCTCTTCCACCTCCTGGAGACGAGAATAGAGGAAGGGGGTTCATGAAAGAAAGAAAGAAAGAAGAAAAGAAAAAGAAAGAAAGAAAGAAAGAAAGAAAGAAAGAAGAAAAAGAAAGAAAGAAGAAAGAAGAAAGAAAGAAGAAGAAGAAATAAAGAAAGACATAAAACAACAGAAGCAAGAACGCCATCCCTCCAGAACAGACTCCCTCCCGAGCTCATAACGATCCCCGCTCCCCCTCCATACCCCACGACCCCCAGCCCCAAAAACTCTCACCCCCCCAAACCCCGCACCACCACCAGAGGAAACCACCATCAAGCGATAACCGAAAAAGAAAAGAAAAGGAAAAGAAAGAAAGGAGAGAGATATGTGCGTGTGTGAACTGACCATAGCAGAGGGGTTGGTCTGCCTCTCCCTCTCTCTGCGAATCTCGTTCTCGATGCACTCTCTGATGGCCAGCTTACAGGCCCGCTGGCAGATCTCTGTAAGGTCAGCACCCGAGAACCCATTGGTCATTTTAGCCAGGAAGTCCAGATCAACATCCTATAGGACAGAGGGAGGAGACAGGGTTTAACCAATCATCATCAGCGTAATATGACAGATCTATAGCGCCTGAAACATCTTACATATTGGTGTGAGCCACTAAATCTTGTTAGATAATATAACTACCATCAGCTCTTGCTACATTGGCATGATGACAGGTGTAGAAAGATGTACTGTTTATGAGCTGTGTGTGTGTTTTACCTTGCTAATGGGGCTCTTGCGGAGGTTAGCCTTGAGAATGTTGATCCTGCTCTTCTCATCGGGCAGAGGGATGTAAATAAGCTGGTCCAGACGGCCGGGTCGAAGGATGGCAGGGTCAATGATGTCAGGGCGATTGGTGGCGCCGATGATGAAGACGTTCTTTTTGCTGGACATGCCGTCCATCTCAGTCAGGATCTGGTTGATGACACGGTCAGCCGCTCCACCACCGTCTCCCACGTTACCCCCACGGGCCTTCGCTATGGAGTCCAGTTCGTCAAAGAACAACACACACGGGGCTGCCTGGCGAGCCTGCACACACAGAAAAACACATAGTAGATTACACCATATACTATTGAAAATGGTGTAGTGGTGTACCACAGGGTTCAATGCCAAGACCACTGTTTTTCTACATGTTGATTTAGGATCTACCATAGTGCACTAATACAAACGTTAACTTATTTTTGGTGGGTCACTTCTATGTCATACCTTGTCAAAGATCTCCCTGACGTTAGCCTCGGACTCTCCGAACCACATGGTGAGAAGCTCAGGTCCTTTGATGGAGATGAAGTTGGCCTGGCACTCGTTGGCGATGGCCTTGGCCAGCAGGGTCTTACCGCAACCCGGGGGCCCGTAGAACAACACTCCCTTAGACGGGGTCATACCGAACTTCAGGAATTTATCAGGGTGCTCCACTGGGTACTACAGGGGATAGAAAGATAGAGGTTAGGTAATGTGTGTAAGGTTAAACTGTGTGCGCTCTTGTGATGGCAGGCCTGCATTAGACAAAGGCAAAGCAGCTAGCGAGGTACTGCCTGTGTCTTGCTGTATGGAGAAGGTGCTTTCTTTATCCATAAGTGTCCATATATCCATGACCTATGAAATGTTTGAATCCTTAGACTAATCTGATTTGTGGATTCATATAAAGTATTTTAAATGTGTGTGTGTGCGCATCGTACCTGCACCAGCTCCTGCAACTCCCTCTTGACATCTTCCAGTCCTCCGATGTCCCCCCAGGTGATGTTAGGAACCTCCACCACAGTCTCCCTCAGAGCTGATGGGTTACTCTGGCTCAGAGCCCACTGAAACACAAACACACCTTTAATATCATATATACATAACTGGGAGTAGTATAGTTAGTACATACTGAGTTGTGGTAGTGTGTGTAGTCTACCCTAGGTAGTGACAGTCTACACTTGGTAGGGTGTTTCTTACCCTGAAGTCATCCATGGTTACGGCCAGGGAGTTCATGACCTCCGCATCGATGGTCTCGTCCTCCAGGTCGATTAGGTCCATCTTCTTCCTGATGGCCTGGAGAGCAGCCTCAGAGCACAGGGCAGCCAGGTCAGCACCCACGTGGCCGTGGGTCTCATTAGCCACCTACACAGAGAAACAGGGGGAGTTAACATGCAGGCCAGCCTCGGAACACAATGCTGACAGTTCAATGGGTGTGGCAAATGTGTGTCAGCCACCTAACAAGACACACCAAGGATGTGTCCCAAATGGCACCCTATTCCTTAAATCAGGGATTGGCTACTTTTTTTGCCACTTGTCCTTCGGACAAGTTGGACTGATTTTTTACTTGTGCAAAAGCTCAAGTCACCTGTCCCCCAAAGAAATGGTGCAAAGAACGACTTTACAAAATAAAAAGCATTACTATCTTTTACACCATAGAGAATCAGACCAAAATGTAGGCTACACTGCCTATTCAGGGAGATTGTTCAAGATTGACGTTGAAATTGGACATTTATCCATATCCTGAGGATGTCGGGAAATGCCTTCAAAGCCGGCCACTAGGGGGAACAGTGAGAACTAATACCATCAATTAGACTTGGGTTTTACTAGGGTGTTGTGGATAGGGGTGGTGGATGGGCGTAATCCCATGAATTTTATTCCAATGTTGGCCTCTCTTATCCAATTCTGATCAGAGTAATTGTTTGATATTTTGATTTGTGTTAATTTTTTTACTTGTCCATTTGGACAACAAATCTATATTCTTCTTATCCGACAATTGTTTTTACTTGTCCCAGACAAGAGGACAAGCGTTAATGTCGAGCCCTGCCTAAACAGTGCAGTACTTTTGACCAGGGCGGTAGAGAATAGGATGCCATTTCGAATGCAGGCCAAGAATCAGCACACACCTGCTCAAGGTCAACATCGTCATTCAGTTTCATGTTCTTGGTGTGGATCTGCAGGATTTCCAGTCTGCCTGTAGCATCAGGGATTCCAATGTCCACCTCCCTATCGAAACGCCCTGGACGCACAAGTACGTTGGAGCACTAAAGCAACCAATACAACAACTGCATAATAAAAACATCAAAACACCCTGTAACCAACCAATAAAAAGTGTGTATACGTACCAAATCTCCTAAGTGCAGCGTCTATGCTGTTGGGTCTGTTGGTGGCTGCCATGACAATGACATGAGCCCTCTGCTTCAGCCCGTCCATCAGGGTCAGCAGCTGAGACACGATACGCCTCTCCACTTCTCCATGGGTCTACAAACACACACACACACGTTAACAACAGCATGATATGCCTCCATCTAACCGTCGGTCTACAAAAAATGTCAGATCACTGTTTATACCTGCTAGACTTGGTATTTATTGAAGTGATAAAATGTCATAGTTGGGTGACCCATTATTGAGGGACTTCCCTGGTTCCTTTGTATTCCATTTTTATTCTCCTGTTCTGCACATCAACCAATGCACACCGTTAATTCCCATTCTCTCTCCCCCTCACCTTCTCTCTCTTTGGAGCGATAGCATCCAGTTCATCAATGAAGATGATGGCAGGAGAGTTCTTCTCAGCCTCCTCGAAGGCCTTCCTCAGGTTGCTCTCACTCTCTCCAGCCAGCTTGCTCATGATCTCAGGACCTACGCACACACGGACAGGCACACAGACAGAAGGGTCATACACAGCAACATCAAAACAGCTACCACAAAACGACAAAAGAGTACAGTGACATATCATGGACAGTGAACCTCTGCCAGGGAAAGGGTAAGGTTTAGAATCTCACCGTTGATGAGGAAGAAGAAGGCTCCGGTCTCATTAGCGACAGCTCTGGCAATCAGGGTCTTTCCTGTACCAGGGGGTCCGTACAGCAGGATACCACGGGGGGGCTGGAGGAGAGAATAGGTGCATGTCAATCTCCTTAGTGTTGCTGACAGAACAAATTTCCAATACTGAAAAATGATTTCTTCCATTCTTAAGCCAACTGAAATTCTTGACTTTCTGAATCTGGAAAGCTTGTTTTTAAACTCCCTACTGTTCAAGAAAGTGTGTAGAGAAGGACAGAAGGCCTTGAAGATAGTGAGCTGTGTGTTACCTTGACTCCTATAGCCTTGAACAGTGCAGGGTGTCTGAGTGGCAGCTCCACCATCTCCTTGATCTGAGCCAGCTGCTTCCTCACTCCTCCGATATCGTCATAGCCCACCTCATTCAGGGACTCCTCTTCATCCTACACACACAAGAAACACACAGAAGTAAGTCTGAGGTTTGAGAGTAGGTTTGATTACTAGGGCTGGGTATAGGCAGGGACTTCAGGACACATACAGTGAGGGAAAGAAGTATTTCCCTCATTAAAATGCAAATCAATTTATAACATTTTTGACATGCGTTTTTCTGGATTTTTTTGTTGTTATTCTGACTCTCACTGTTCAAATAAACCTACCATTAAAATTATAGACTGATCATTTCTTTGTCAGTGGGCAAACGTACAAAATCAGCAGGGGAGGAAATACTTTTTTCCCCTCACTGTAGGTCCCAATTCAATACAGATTCCCACCTGAGCCTCTTGATTGGCTAAAAGTACTCCTAGATTTCCATAGGCTAAATGAAGAGTGCTCTGCCCACAAGCGATTGGGTTGAGGTTGTGACCCACCTCTCTCCTGATAGGCTCTCCCTCGCAGTGGATGACGGTATCGGGGGCAACGATGCAGTAGGGGTTGGGGTCTGTCTCCACCGCCTTGAACTCCACCGCACGCATACCCCCACGAACAAGGAAGATATCACCTGCACATTACAGAATCAAATACAGAAACAAACACTATTGTTCAACGTCTCTGTTTTGAAACAAAACGACTGGTAACAGGTGTGTGTTATGGATGGCACAGTTAATCGACTATCTAGATATCCGAACGGACGTTAGTATTTGAACATTTGTAAGAGTATTACATTTGGGAGATTTTTTGTAGGCTTATTTTAACAATGAAAACGCTTTGTCTAAATTAAATTGTCCATGTTACACACAAGGATATACCATGACATTTGAAACGTTTAAATTTAATAAAACAACAAACTTTAGAATGTAGTGTTTATGTACGGCGCATTGAGCTACTGCTGTTTCAGACGTCACGTATTTTTGAAACAGTAATCGGTTATATTATAGCGAACATCAGACTTCTCTTTCGCTGTTAGCCTAGGCTACTGTTAGCCAAAAACTAGCATAATAGCACCCTGAAAACAACTGCGCACTGTCTGCTGCTGTGGCATGTTGCGTCATTCTGATTGGTCAAGAGTAGAGAATATATATATTTCTATTTTTTTTAATAGAATTTTGACTATCCGGATATCCGGAAAAAATTATCAAACCAAATCCAATTTTATTGGCCACATGCGCCGAATACAACAGGTGCAGACATTACAGTGAAATGCTTACTTACAGCCCTTACCCAACAGTGCATTTATTTTTTATAAAAAAGTAAAATAAAACAACTAAAAAGTGTTGAGAAAAAATATTATTTGAATAGTGAAATAATATTAAATGCCCATCCCTAGTCAAATCAAACGTATTGGTGTGTGTGTGCTGACCCTTGCGGATGGGCCTGTAGGCCTCTAGGAAGTAGGGCTTGAGGTAGACCTCAAATAGGTTGCCAGTGATTCCCTCCACTGTATCATCAATAGGCAGAACATGGATCCTCTTCCCATACTTCACATCAGGACATGGCTGGATACTGCAGCAGGAAGAATAGAGAAACATCACTCATCTCAATTTGCTTTGGGCAGATGTACATATAAACAAACTTGTTTGTTTATGTGTGTGTTCCAGTGTGTGTGCATCTGTGTGTGTACCTGATGACATCCCCCAGACGGACGCGGAGGTTGTTGCGGACCACACGGTTCATGCGGATCTTCTCATCAGAGCAAGTGTCGTCAGACAGGACAATACACACAGACTCCCTGCGCTTCTTCCCCTTCATCAGCACTGTGTCTCCACGGAACAGCTGCAGCTCATCCATCTTTGCCTAAAAACAGAGCATGAACGCCATGAATTTCACTAGATGTTCTAAATACTTTTAGATACTTTGAGTACAGCAGGACCAGATATTTTCCACAGCAGCAGCTGAGGATCAAAATAACACATGGCTGCTTAGAGCCAGAATAATTACATTCTGGGAGTGTAAATATGTGAACAGTGGATGTGTATGTGGATACAAATCCACCCAATCACCTGCAATTTAGGCCTACCTGAGAGAGTGAGACCACACTGTTGTCTTCATTGATGGATTCATCGACAATCAATCTGTTAGGTCTTGTCTTCTGCTTCAAAATCGCAGTGGAAAGATCATCATTTTTGGATCTGGGTGAAACAGATAAACAACAGCGATAAGTTAAAACTGAAACCTGACTGTCTGATATTTCGCAGTTCCTACATACACATGAATTCCTTGTCCTATTGGGAATATTGATTAAGCAACGTCATTAGCTAGTTAACTAGATAGATCAGTATAGCTGGCTAGCAATGCTATTTTTGCTTGTTAGCTAGCGTAATTGATGCAGAAAAGACTAGCAAGCAAGCTAACATCGCGCAATCACTTGACTTGGCCAACTTTAAGATGTTATACATTTTTCTATACTAGTGTTAGCTAGTTCCGCAATACTGTTCATTCGTCGCCAGCTAATGTTGGCTAGCTAGCTACTAGTAGTAGCCCAGCAGCAGATGACACAGCAAAAGGACACCTTTTGGGATCCAAAGTTGTCAAGTTACGACTATTTATTACCTACACCAGCTAAAACAGAGGTGTAGCTAGTTCGGTAATGTTATTGCATAAGCTAGTTTGGTAGCTAATATGCCATACTCCTAAATTACATAAGCTGTCATAACACTTTGAAAGATACGTTTATTAGCTAGCTAACTAAACTGGTAACGTTAGGTTAGGATGTTAACGTTAGTTTAGCTAACCCAGTAGTGACATGGCCGGCATTTTCAGATGTGACAGTTAGCTAACTAGCTACGAACTACTTACGCTAGTTAACGTCAGGTAGCTAGCGAGTTGGCTAACTAACGTTCACGCATTTAAGTTACTTGGTAATGTATTTTTTAAATGTGCCCTGCTTCTAATTCATCATCATCATGGGTCATTGGATGAGCTTGTCAAGCCTGCAGCAGGCCAGCGAGTCACAGGCTAGCTAGTTAGCAACATATGTTAACATTGGTTAGCAAACTGTGCCGGTAGGCCCAACTAGCTACGTTTTGTCAGGTTAAGTTGGCTAACGTTAGCTAGCTAGATACAAACGCCTGTCAGTCACGTACGATAGTTTGGGTCATTCCATTGACTGGTCTCAATTACAGTGTACAACGTTAGGAGCTAGCTAACACTTGGTTACCTAACTAGCTAGCTAGCTAAATTAACTCTTAGTAAGAGTCTTACATAAACCGTAACATTAGTAGGGCATGTCATCCAGTACGCTAACTAGCTAGCTGAGGTAAAATACCAGTCTAGTAGCTAACCTAGATAATTCGCTTGTGAAAGGACACCTTTGTATATATTTATACTTACTCTCCTCCCGAGGCCATGGTGGTACTCCTCCTGAAATAAATAGTGTGTATAAATAAAAAGTAGCTATTTGTTAAGCTTTTTCAGCAAAGTAACTTCACAACGTTCTCGTGAGTTCTTCTCCTTCTTTACAGTTGTATTGGCGGATCGCAACCGTGAGGTGCATACACCGCCACCTACTGTAATGGAGTGTGAGGCCATTCAAGGCCTCTTCTTCTTTGATGAGGTTTAACGGCGGTTAGCATCCAATAAATGTTGCATTACCGCCACCAACTAGACTGGGTTATAACTCCCTTATACTTTACTTGAAAAAATGAAAATAAATCAACAAATACCCTACCATCTAGCCCTACACTCATTAAAAACCCACCACCCTACTCCACTATTTAAACCTATCTAGTACTACCTCAGGCCAACAGCCTGAAAGGATGGGACACCACCAGTCAACACACCCTGTAACTCTTCTGACGTCAAATCTCGTACACCCAAATACTTCTCTGCAGCTGCAACCATAACCTCTATTTTCTGCGACTTACGTTCCATTCCTGTAGTACAGTTGATAACCATTACTATGAACGCTAAAAGGCCAATCTTACTGAAGCATATATCACTCGTTGGCCTTTATCTCTGTACTGATACAGATCTACTACTCACACGAATCCTCTCAGGATCCCTCCCCCTTGACCCATCTTCCTCAACTTTCTTCACTGCCTCAGCATACGACACCCTCTGCTTTACTCTAACCCTGGTAACCTCAACCCGCCTCTCTCGCACCGCATTCAAGGCCTCCCTATTCATGTATTCCTCTTATCTAGCTCTGTGTGCGAGTTCATTACACATCGTAGAAAATTTGCCCTACCAACTAAATCTACACCCATTAAAAAACCTCACCACTATTCCACTACTTGGCCCTATCTGATCCTACACCAGGCCGGCAGCCTGGGAGGACAGGACACTATCGCTCAACACAGCTTGTAACTCTTCTGCAGTAAAATCTCGTACAAGTACTTCTCTGCAGCTGCCACCACCACAGCTATTTTCTTCAAATCAAATCAAATCAAATTGTATTGGTCACATACACGTGTTTAGCAGATGTTATTGCGGGTGTAGCGAAATGCTTGTGTTTCTAGCTCTGACAGTGCAGTAATATCTAACAATTTCACAACATATACCAAATACACACAACTCTAAGTAAAGCAATGGAATTAAGAATATATAAATAAATATATGGACGAGCAATGTCAGAGAGGCATAGACTACAGTAGAATAGAATAGAATACAGTATATACATATGAGATGAGTAACCCAAGATATGTAAACATTATTAAAGTGGCTAGTGTTCCATTTATTAAAGTGGCCATTGATTTCTAATCTATATATAGGCAGCAGCCTCTAATGTGCTAGTGAAGGCTATTTAACAGTCTGATGGCCTTAAGATAGAAGCTGTTTTTCAGTCTCTCTGTCCCAGCTTTGATGTACCTGTATTGACCTCACCTTCTGGATGATAGTGGGGTGAACAGGCAGTGGCCAGGGTGGTTGTTGTCCTTGATGATCTTTTTGGCCTTCCTGTGACATCGGGTGCTGTAGGTGTCCTGGAAGGCTGGTAGTTTGCCCCCGGTTACCAACAATGACGAGACAACCTACAGGGAGGAGGTGAGGGCTCTGGGAGTGTGGTGCCAGGCAAATAACCTCTCACTCAACGTCAACAAAACAAAGGAGATGATCGTGGACTTCAGGAAACAGCAGAGGGAGCACCTCCCTACCTCCACTCACATCTAGGAATCTCCCTCCTACACACTGCTGTAAGGGTTAACCTCTCTACCCTGGACAGGTTAAACTAACCAGCATGAGGAGCTCTAAATGGTTCAGACCTTGAGCGATGACAGTGCCGATGTGAAGGAGGCCCTTCAGCTCCCTGGGATGCACTACCATCGCTGGCCTGACTGCACTCATCTCCACATCCCACTCTTCTGCCCCCAGTCCCTCAGAGAGAGAAAGTAGCTCTTCCTGCAGACAGAAGGAACCAGAAAAACAACATGAACATTTGTGATGTGATTTCAGTGTGTAACTGTCAAAGAGCTATTGCTTCATGACCTCATTTCTGATTACTTTACCATGACCTAATACTCTAATCCTGTCCAGTTACATGCAAGGTTGGTCACACACACACACACACACACACACAGAAATTTAGGAGAATACCCACAGAATTCCTCAAGTTAGAGGGACCCACTGATGAGTTTAGAATTCCAGTTAATGTCAATGTGTGTGTTATGTGTCCAGTTATGGCCCTCTCTCTCACTCTCTCTTTCTCTCTCACACTCTCTCTCTCTCTCTGTCTCTCTCACACACACACACACACACACACACACACACACACACACACACACACACACACACACACACACACACTTGGATTAAACACTCACACTCCAGTATGTGCCCCAGTCTGCAGGTAGGCAGCCAGAGAGTCTAGTGCAGACAGAGCAGCAGGGAAGACGTGAAGCCCATGGACTTTAGAACCGTACCCCAGAACACTGGGGGGTCGGGACAAGGATGATCACAACCTAGTCATATGGGGGTGAGGTGAGAGAGTTGTGGGAGAGGTCAAAGATAGATGGGGGAAGGAGAGAGACTAGTGAAGAGACAGTGTTTTCCTTTCTTCCTCTCATATTATTCGCATTACATCACTACTAGAGCATCAAACCTAGTCATATCACAGCTAAGGTGTCTGGGGTTTCCTACCTCTCCCCAGGCTAGTGTTTCCCAGACTAGGTCCTTGGGACCTCAAGGGGTACACGTTTTGGTTTTTGCCCTAACACTACACAGCTGATTCAAATTATCAAAGCTTGATGATTAGTTGATTAGCTTCCAAAATATTTTTAACAACGGTGAGGGAGTGCCAAGATGGAGGCACAGTGGCTTCAACACAGCACACCCTGTCAGTCATCTAATGTATATATAAATCATTGTGTAGGCCTGGGTACCAAGATGGTGTAATTTCAGATCGCAATTCGGGCGTCCCTGGCGCGAATGAAACGGCCACGGACCAATGGCGAGAATCAGAAAAAGTCCCTAATTGCGGTCTGCAATTACACCCTTCTCCTTTGTACAGAAGTACAGAGTTTGGAAACAGTCCTGACTGAGTGTCCATGAGATGGCGCCAGATGAACACAGTGAAGAGACATTTAGAAGAATACCCACAGAATTCCTCAAGTTACAGAGGGACCCACTGATGAGTTTAGAATTCCAGTTTATGTCAATGTGTGTGTTATGTGTCCAGTTATGGCCCTCTCTCTCACTCTCTCTTTCTCTCTCACACTCTCTCTCTCTGTCTCTCTCTCACACACACACACACACACACACACACACACACACCCACACCCCCACCCACACTTGGATTAAACACCTCCCTCTGCAACTGGATCCTGGACTTCCTGACGGGACACCCCCAGGTGGTGAGGGTAGGCAACAACACATCCACCACGGTGACCCTCAACACTGGGGCCCCTCAGGAGGGCCGAGCACGCCCCCATCCACATCTACAGGGCTGTTGTGGAACAGGTTGAGAGCGTCAAGTTCCTCTGTGTCCACATCACTAAGGAACTATCCTGGTCCACACACATTAACACAGTCGTGAATAGGGTACGACAATGCCTCTTCCCCCTCAGGAGGCTTAAAAGATTTGGCATGGGCCCTCAGATCCTCAATAAATTCTACAGCTGCACCATTGAGAGCATCTTGCCTGGCTGCATCAAATCAAATCAAATGTTATTTGCCACATGCGCCGAATTCAACAGTACAGTGAAATGCTTACTTACAGCCCTTAACCAACAATGCATTTATTTCTTAATAAAAAAGTAAAATAAAAACAACAACAACA